AATAACTCCCTTGTGCTACTGGCAGAGAAAGTGACATTTCCTCAAATCTTTATTATGAGAGGAGTAACACTGTCTTGTTTAAGTGTCTAGCTACCTCCCTGTACATATTGCTGGTGCTCTTTGGTGTTGAAGAAGGCAAAGAATATCTTCCTCCAGCCCATGGCATTGGCTAGGGCCTCCATCTCAGGTGTGAGCTCATCACAGCGACCCCTCACAGTCTGTTCCCAGAACTCTGGAGAGTTGCAGAGCTGGGATATCCCATTCCATATCGAAATACAACACACACACAGACATACAGAGAAACACTAGCTCACTAACTAAACCCAGATTATATTTTCCTGACCGTGTTATAGCCCAACTAGGGCCCTGAGGTTTTCCTTGTCCGTTCACATGGTCAGTAAAAACTCAGGGCCCTTAATGAAATAATGTGCATGTGAAAGTAAAATGTGCTTTTGTAAATTGTTTTGGGTACACACTATGGACTGGTTTTCTGGACACATATTAAGCCTAGTCCTGGACTTAAAAGCAATTTCAATGGAAATTCTCCTTAGATTACACTTTTTAGTCCAGGAGTAGATTTTATTTGTATCTGGGAAACTGGCCCTTTGGGTTTGTAAAGCCCAGGCTCACCTTGTGGAACCTCTTTGTGGTCTGTGCCAGCTGTGCTACGTCTTTCAGTTCCAGGAAGGCCAGGATTTGGAGCAGGAGGTCATTGGGCAGGCGCTCCAGGTAGTCAAAGTTCCCTTGGCACAGTGCTTGGGTGTACTGTAGGATCTGCTGGCCAAACACCACACCTACCTGTTCTAGAGATGGGGAGTACACACCTACTCAGGGCAGTGCACTTTTCAAGACACCAACAAATACAGTAGGTGATGTAGGCTTAATATTTAATGCCAGAGACTTGTAATGGAAACCTTACGCTGCATGCGGGCATTATGCAAATAGTCATCGTGGGTCATCCTATTTTCTCCAGGTGCAGCACCCTTGAATTCAATCCGCAAAGAAATCTTCCACGATCTCCATATCACCTGAAGAGAAATTCAAAAATACATAGGCCTGTTATACAACTCAGTTCTCTCCTATCATCAGAGTCTTGTAATTAATCTAAGTTCAAAGCATGTTGAAACAGAAAAGTTACTTGTAGAAACAAATGTCAGATATATGAGGTTGATATGTAGCACTTAAAAGTACAAAATCCAGTGCTGTCTACCATGCCTGCTGTCCTGATGTGTAGCCTTTATCCACAGCCACAGTCCAGCATTGTGCAGATAAAGTAAACGATCTGTTTTTAAGTCTCTGCAATCCCAAGATACATATTAGATGGATGATCAAATATAAGAATTTACCTCCGTTTTAGTGACAGTAAGCTGAAAAAAATCTTTTGTAGGAGGGGGACCCTGCCCATTTATTTCAAACACTTTCTTCCCAAGTAGAGATGCCATTTTTAGACGCTAAAGGGTTACCATGACAACGGAGAGAACAGCGAAATATTTTGTGATAATGAAAGCGAATTCTGTTCGCAATTGTATACATTGAGTGATTGCTAATAATTTAAGTATATAAATAAAATTATTATCAACCCACAATGTCATCTATATTTTTCGAAAAAACTGTTGTTGGAATAGGGGGTCACGACCCAGCGGATTAATATTTAGCAGCTATCCTACTGTGAGATATATACTTTAACATTTTCTGAACACAACTGTTGACAATAGTAAATACATTCGCTAAATCGTTATTGAATACATGTATTTATTTGGCTCAGGTTCGGTTCAATGTCGACTTTATCATCTAAATCGAAAGTAGTTCCTAGCGGAAGAATGGGCACTTTAGAGCGGAGGTATATTGCAGTTGCAGGTCCCTCAGCTGATGTGAAGGCTGAGAGAGTGGAGCTGGTGCACTGTCTGTTACAACTACAACACTGGAACAAATAGGTAATAACATAATTTATATATATCGTTCAGTGGCATCTTATTCAATAGTTTGGGGGGGGGTGTGCTCATTGAGAATGTAATACTGAAATACTTGTGAATGGAGAATCCGTCTCGCGAAAAAATATGGTTTCCAATTGTCATCTCTCGAATCATGTTCCTGCTTTCCTGTGTCTGTGTGATGCAAGCAGCAAAAAAGGTTCAGAGGCCATTTCGTTTTGCAACTTGCTTTGCCATAAACGTACAGAAGGTAGCGCAACAAAATAAGCTCGCTAACCAAACAATAACTCACTTGAATTGGAAATCGCATACAGTTAGCCAGTCGGCGAAACAAACCTTTTAGTTAGTTAGTTGGCTACCAGCTAGCTAACGTTAGCTAGCTCGCTATGTAGCTATGTAGCAAGTATCTTGGCAGAATGTTTTCAGTTAGCAACATGTGTTAGCCGGTTAACACTAACTTTAGCTACCTAACCCGACATGGTTCGGGTTAAGGTCAACATGTAACGTTAGCTACCTAGCTAATATCTAACAGTCAGAATATTAAAAAGACGCAACTATAGTTAACGTTAGCAGGCTACCACCTCTCACAACTTGTGTGTTAAAGTTAAGATATTGTGTAATTTTAATATGGCATTCCCATTAATAAAGCTAACGTTAGCTAGCTATGTTTGTTTGCCAACAATGTTAGCCAACCAGCTAACGTTAGCTAGTTAGGTAAGTAATTCATCACGTCAGGCTAGAGAGTGCTGTAAGCAGCTAGCTAACTTAACAATGCTAACTAGCAGCAAGAAAAACGTTAGCTTCCCATTTGGCTAGCCATAGCTAATCAAGTAAACATTTGTTTAGTTAGCTACATAGCTAACATTACTTTCTTAACTCTTGCGTTTATTACATGTCGACAGCTTGTAAATTACTGAGGCGATGCAATAATAAACAAAACTAGCCAGCGAACTGCCGTTAGCTGTCTAGCTAGATTGTGGTAGTTTTGTATTTAGCTACTGTTAGCTAGCTACCAGATGGGATAATGCAGTGTGAATGTCGTTGGATGGAGTTTATCTGACATTCCCTTTGAACGACACTATTAAATTAACGTAGCCATCCTGTCCTAACAAGAAAGCTAGCTAGCTAACGTTAGCAAGCTTGCTAGCTAGCACAGCTGAATCCTCTGGTGCGAAGTTAATAATAGTCAGTCCGATGCTGCCGTTTTCGATGGTAAACTCCGGTAATTGTTATTTAGATGACATTTGCCAGCCATTCCCTTTGATTAATGAGGTGGATTCCATGCAAAAGGTTTTATTTAGGTACACATTTTTGTGCTGTTGTCTTGATTACGTTAGCTGAACGTTTTTAGGACAACAGTCCACCAACTACGCATTTTCATGTCACATAGCTAACGTTACATTCATACATCGCTAGCTAATATATTATTTGCGGACTAGTCTGTATTTTTACATTAATAACCAGACATTTTAGCTAAGTCATACGTTATCGTTTTACAATCTGAAAGGTACCATACTAGGCTCTTTGTCTATTGGTAGCTAGCTAGCTAACGTTACTGTCACATTGAAATTACGGGACCGGGCTGTTTGCTAACCACCTAGCTGGTGCTAACTACGTCAGAATGAAGGCCTCTTTGTAAAACGAACTTGAAATAAATTAGTGTAGGCTAATAAAAGCTTGTTATAATGAAAGCTATTATATTAACCGAAGTAGTGAACTGTCGATTGTACAGGACTACAGTGGAACATGGTAAAACACCAATTGTCAGAGTTGGACGAATAAATAAACAAAGACTAGGATGTACAGTCAGAGAAGGCCTGGCTAAAATGGCCTTGCAAGCTTGCCAATTGTTCTTATTTTGTGATCAATATTGCAGTTCATTGAGTCTTAACATGAGTGATGGCGTGAAGAATATGTAGCTAGTTTATCAGATTAAGTGTTTTAACACGTGCATCATAATGAACTCCCGAAAAAAATATTTTCAAATTCCACCTTTGAGTCCCCTCGACTCTTAACATGAGCATTTTTGCAATGGGTAATTAAAGATCATACCTCTTGATCATGCATAGCTATATGACCATACATATCGGACTCATATTTAATTAAACTCGCGTGTTTATTATAGATGAGCTACTGTAACGTTACATGGTGAAGGCCCTTTACTGTGATGTAGCCTATGATTTTTGACTTGCTGTGTTTTGAATGCTAGGCCTGAAATATTCATTTGTCGTTGTGCCATATTTCACTGGATATTGCTGAAGTGGATTTGCACGAACTTTAGTGACTCATTGATGGTGATATTTTTGCTTTAAGAAATGCATAGCTAATTAATGGCAGCAGAAATGTAGAGTTCTTTGCAAATCATCTTGTTTGTCTACCTACCATTTTACTGTGTTGACTCTAGGACTGGGAATTGCCACGGACCTCACGATATGATACTTAGATGCTGATACGATATGTATTGTGGTTCTCACAATTCTATATGTATTGCGATTCGGTACTGAGATTTGATTGCGAGTTGATGTTACAAAAATATTGCTCACCATATGTCTGCTGCAGAGTGGCGAGATGCATGAGAGAACGAGTTTTGATCAGTCATGGAAATAAGTGCTGAAAACAAATTGGCTCCCTATTTAAAAATAAATAAATAAACAAGATTGAGAACAAGCTATGAAGGGAAAATACTTGGGTTTTGGTGCAGGTACAGCAAACAAGCGCTAAAATTAATAATGTGACATTGTCAAAACTATACCATATATATATACTCAAATAATATCTCTATGTAATTTGTCCTGCATATTTTTTGTACATCAATTAAAAAAGAGAGGCTGCCTTTAAGTTATTTCACTACATAGCCTATTTGTTTGATAAAATACACTTTACAAAAATATAATCACAACATGCATTAATTTAAAAGATTCTACGGAGTTACAGTTCATATAAGGAAATCAGTCAATAGAAATAAATTCATTAGGACCTAATCTATGGATTTCACATGACTGGTCTTTACCTATAGAAAAATGTACAGGTGTGGATCAGAAAACCAGTCAGTATGTGGTGTGACCACCATTTGCCTCACGCAGTGTGCCACCTCTTCTTCGCATGCTGTTGATTGTGGCCTCTGTAATGTTGTCCCACTCCTCTTCAATGTCTGTGCGAAGTTGCTGGATATTGGCAGGAACTGGAACTGTCATACACGTCAATCCAGAGCATCCCAAACATGCTCAATGGGTTAAATGTCTGAGTATGCAGGCCATGGAAGAACTGGGACATTTTCAGCTTAAATGAATTGTGTACAGATCCTTGCGACATGAAAGGCACGACAATGGGCCTCAGGATCTCGTCACGCTAACTAGGTGCATTCAAATTGCCATCAATAAAATGCAATTGTTTGTTGTCCGTAGCTTATGCCTGCCCATACCATAACCCCACCGCCACCTATGGGGCAATCTGTTCACAACATCAGCAAACCACTCGCCCACACGACGCCATACACGCTGTCTGCATCTGCCCGGGACAGTTGAAACTGGGCAGATGAGATGGTTTCTGACAGTTTGTGCAGAAATTCTTCGATTGTGCAAACCCACAGTTTCATCGGCTGGACTCAGACAATCCCACAGGTGAAGAAGCCGGATGTGGAGGTCCTGGGTTGGCTTCGTTATACGTGGTCTGCGGTTGTGAGGCCGGTTGGACACTGCCAAATACTCTAAAACGACATTGGAGGCAGCTTATGGTAGAGAAATGAACATTCAGTTCTCTGGCAACTGCTCTGGTGGACATTCCTTCAGTCAGTATGCCAATTGCACGCTCCCTCAACTTGAGACATCTGTGGTGTTGTGTGGCAAAAGTGCACATTTTAGTGGCTTTTTATTGTCCCCAGCACAAGGTGCACTTGTGTAATGATCATGCTGTTTAATCAGCTTCTTGATATGCCACATCTGTCAGGTGGATGGATTATCTTGGCAAAGGAGAAATGCGCACCTCCATTCTGTCAGGTAGAAGACAAATGGGAATATCTCGTTTTCAAAATAATTTCATTTGGTGAATTGATTCATTTCAAACTGCAGCATTTATCTTGTGAAATCTAGCGTTTTTTAAATTTAGCAATTCAATTCAGGGTTGAATCAAGTCTTGCGCAACAAAGAACAGCACGACATTGGTATCTCAATAATATCAAGGTTGGAGGGAACTGTCAATTATCCTACCCATGATTTGAATTCATGGCCTGTACGATATCACAATCATTCTCCTCCAATATAACTTGGCTATAGACGCGTGGGTTGTTTAGCAACAAAACCGATGCGTTCACATCTTTTGGGCAAACAACTGTCAACTCCAAAGGATTATTGACATGAACTACCACGTTTCCCCACATGGCACATTCTTGCCATTGTTTCCAGCTACAGTGAGGGGAAAAAAGTATTTGATCCCCTGCTGATTTTGTACGTTTGCCCACTGACAAAGAAATGATCAGTCTATAATTTTAATGGTAGGTTTATTTGAACAGTGGGAGACAGAATAACAACAACAAAATCCAGAAAAACGCATGTCAAAAATGTTATAAATTGATTTGCATTTTAATGAGGGAAATAAGTATTTTGACCCCTTCTCAATCAGAAAGATTTCTGGCTCCCAGGTGTATTTTATACAGGTAACGAGCTGAGATTAGGAGCACACTCTTAAAGGGAGTGCTCCTAATCTCAGTTTGTTACCTGTATAAAATACACCTGTCCACAGAAGCAATCAATCAATCAGATTCCAAACTCTCCACCATGGCCAATACCAAAGAGCTCTACAAGATTGTAGACCTACACAAGGCTGGAATGGGCTACAAGACCATCGCCAAGCAGCTTGGTGAGAAGGTGACAACAGTTGGTGCGATTATTCACAAATGGAAGAAACACAAAATAACTGTCAATCTCCCTCGTCCTGGGGCTCCATGCAAGATCTCACCTCGTGGAGTTGCAATGATAATGAGAACGGTGAGGAATCCGCCCAGAACTACACGGGAGGATATTGGGACCATAGTCACCAAGAAAACAATTGGTAACACACTACGCCGTGAAGGACTGAAATCCTGCAGCGCCCGCAAGGTCCCCCTGCTCAAGAAAGCACATATACAGGCCCGTCTGAAGTTTGCCAATGACCATCTGAATGATTCAGAGGAGAACTGGGTGAAAGTGTTGTGGTCAGATGAGACCAAAATCGAGCTCTTTGGCATCAACTCAACTAGCCGTGTTTGGAGGAGGAGGAATGCTGCCAATGACCCCAAGAACACCATCCCCGCGGTCAAACATGGAGGTGGAAACATTTCGCTTTGAGGGTGTTTTTCTGCTAAGGGGACAGGACAACTTCACCGCATCAAAGGGACAATGGACGGGGCCATGTACTGTCAAATCTTGGGTGAGAACCTCCTTCCCTCAGCCAGGGCATTGAACATGGGTAGTGGATGGGTATTCCAGCATGACAATGACCCAAAACACACGGCCAAGGCAACAAAGGAGTGGCTCAAGAAGAAGCACATTAAGGTCCTAGAGTGGCCTAGCCAGTCTCCAGACCTTAATCCCATAGAAAATCTGTGGAGGAAGCTGAAGGTTCGAGTTGCCAAACATCAGCCTCGAAACCTTAATGACTTGGAGAAGATCTGCAAAGAGGAGTGGGACAAAATCCCTCCTGAGATGTGTGCAAACCTGGTGGCTAACTACAAGAAACGTCTGACCTCTGTGATTGCCAACAAGGGTTTTGCCACCAAGTACTAAGTCATGTTTTGCAGAGGGGTCAAATACTTATTTCCCTCATTAAAATGCAAATCAATTGATAACATTTTTGACATTCGTTTTTCTGGATTTTTTTGTTGTTATTCTGTCTCTCACTGTTCAAATAAACCTACCATTAAAATTATAGACTGATCATGTCTTTGTCAGTGGGCAAACGTACAAAATCAGCAGGGGATCAAATACTTTTTTCCCCTCACTGTATATGACCGTTCAATCATAAAACACAGCCTTCTGCCCCATCGATGCGCGTCATTTTCATGACGCTGTCAGGCAACACGTCTACAGCTGGTCTGGCTGGTCATATTCACCACTCCCGCAAGGGGGAGTGAAAGTGTGCTTAATTAGTGAAGTATTTTGTGTAATGGTATTAGTGTAATTTTATACGCACACACTCCATTGTGTATTGTTACCCCGTATATCATGACCCCCCCCCCCCACCCCACTTTTGTCAAGAATGCAAATGGTGGCAGTAGGTGCATGGAACACCCCCTCTGAGTTGGTTCTCCGAAGACTTAATGTATGCTTTCTCCAGTGATTGATTGGCTATGACAAGCATACCCGCAGACTCTTAGTAATGGGTTACCCACAGTGAACTGGAGACGATGTAGACTAAGCAAAATTGGTGGCAGTTCTCTCTTCTCGGCATGGCCGTTCTAATCTATACTGAACAAAAAAATAAACGCAACATTCAAAAATTATAAAGATTTACAGTTCTTATAAGGAAATCAGTCAATTTAAATAAATAAATTAGGCTCTAATCTATGGATTTCACATGACTGGGCAGTTGCGCAGCAATGGGTGGGCCTGGGAGGGCATAGGCCCACCCACTTGGGAGCCAGGCCCAGTCAATTGGAATGAGGCCCCCCCCCCCAAACGAACCCACTGTTGGAGGAGCCGGATGTGGAGGTCCTGAGCTACCGTAGTTACACATGGTTTGTGGTTGTCATGCCGGTTGGACGTACTTCCCAATTCTCTAAAATAACGGAGGCGTCTTATGGTAGAGAAATGAACATTAAATTCTCTGGCAACAGCTCTGGTGGACATTCCTGCAGTCAGCATGCCAGTTGCACGCTCCCTTAAAGACATCTGTGACATTGTGTTGTGTGACACAACTGCACATTTTAGTGGCCTTTTATTGTCCCCAGCGCAACGTGCACCTGTTTAATGATCATGCTTTTTAATCAGCTTCTTTATATGTCACACCTGTCTGGATTATCTTGACAGGATATTTGAGAAATAAGCTGTTTGTGCGTACAGAACATTTCTGGGATCTTTTATTTGAGCTCATGAAACATGGGACCAGCACTTTACATGCTGCGTTTATATTTTTGTTCAGTGTAGGTCTGTTTTCATGTGCCCAGGATGACACTTAGCCTAGATGTGTTTGCTTATGTGATCTTGTGATTTTAAATCTATCTGCTTCTTTGTTTTAAGTTTGTTGTGGACAGTCATTTTGGGCCTGTCGTCATTGTCTCTCTGATTGGATCAATCCGCCCTCTATCTTTGGGCTGATCAGATTCAGAGCTGTATGTAGCCGTGTGATGCGTTTGGCTGAGGCTCATTGATCTCGCAGGCTGCCCTGTCCTCCAAACAAATGGTAATGTGAGTAATACAACTGATCTGTTTGTTAGGCAGGGGCTTGTATCATCACATAATTTATCAACAGGCAGCCCAATTATATATTTTCCACTAATTGGTCTTTTGACCAATCACATTAGATCTTTTCACTTCAGATCTTTTTCTGAGCTGATCTGGTTGATCCAAAATGAATGAAAAAAAGATTAGTTGTGCTGCCTGTATAAATGCATCCAACGTGGTCCTGAGAGTGATAATTTAGAGTGGGGTTGAGGGGCTACTTTTTTTTGATTCCAACTGCATCATTGATGGCATCAACAGCTACCACCAACACATCTGTTCGTTGGATTTTACTTTGTTTGGGAACGTCACTCACAAGGACGCGTCCTGATGTCTCACCCATGATCTGATGTGTTTTTCTTATCCCTCCTCTGTCTAGTGAATGGTAGTGTCTAGAAAGGGTATGTCCCTTCAGGAGAGAGGTGCCAATGTCCAACCGGCCTAATTCCAATCCAGGGGGGTCACTGCGCCGTTCACAGAGGAACACTGCTGCGGCCCAGCCACAAGACCATACAGTCGCGGGAAGGTAAGTCCCCCAGCACATGTTATGTGTTCTCACCTGTTTGTGTGTTTTTTTTTTTTTTTTTTATGTCTTGGAGTCTGTCTGTATTTTTGTTTGAACATCTGAGGGCATGCTTGAAGCTGTTCTCTGCTTTTCTCAAAATGGCTACAATTATTCATTGATATTAGAATTTTAATAAGGGCCTAAACCCTATCAGAGGTGGAGTTAATGACTTTCATGCTGTTTAATTTTTTTATTTCCAATGTGTTTTAAGTTGAAGGAAAAGCATTGTGTGGGTGTATTTTATATGAATCTACCAGTACAAGTACATTTAGGTTGTTTTTGCATGGGGTTCTACTGAGGCATTCCTAGGAGCAGTACAGGATGGGGTGGATAATGATCGGTGAATGACTTGATGAAGTCTTTTATTCATGATATGGAGTGATTACGCAAAACCCATACTGTCACCTGCTCTTTAATTCCCAACCTTACAGGTTGCAGTCAGAGCAGGTAAAACATAAAGCAAATTCCCCTCCTGAAAGTAGAAGACCTAAATCTAAGGCTTCCAAAGCTGCACCCAGCTCAGCCTCTGGCCAGTCCAAAGGGCACAGCTCAAGAAGGTACCCCTCCTCTCTCCTTAGCACTCACTGTGTGTTTGTGGGGTCTACTTTAGACTATCGCGCTTAGATAAAAATGTATTAACTATTGTTTGTTTTCAATCTATTGTGCCCTTGGCTATTCACTGTAGGCCTAAATTATCTGAATGGAAGCATTGTACTTGATCGCTTTGTCTTTCCAGTTTGGAAACTGTGCTAAAAGGTTCTCTTTCTCCTCTCCTCCACCACTCTGGCAGTAGCAGTCTGTCACTGTCTGTGGCTTCATTTGTGCTGCAAGACGACCCAGAGGCCGCAGGGACATCAGAGCGAGAGCCAACAGGCCACCAATCCAAGAGTGAAGGCACCACCCGAGGGTTGAAGAGAAGTTCTGCACCTGACCTCAACAACACCTACACCCCCACCCCAGCCAAGAAGTCCAAATCCCACCCCCCACCCAGAGACCATACCACTGAGGCCAAGAAAGGCCCTGCCAAGTCCTCCAAGAAGAGACCCCTGGCTCCAGAACCGCCCGAGCCCACAGGCCGCGGCCAGAGCAGGAAGAGCGGGGCCTCTGGGGCCTCACCGTCCCAGAAACGGAAGAAGGCTGACTCCCTCCCCGGTCTGAGCAGCACTGCTGGGTCCCTCCCCAACCGTACCGACGGCAGATCTGCAAAACCCACCAAGCTGGCGTCGAAATCGGCCGCCTCAGCCAAAGCTGGGTGTAGCACCGTGACTGACTCCTCCTCTTCTGCCTCCACCTCGTCCTCCTCCTCCACCGGCGCCAACAGTGCCACCGCCACGCAGGGTGCCAGGCTCAAGCAGGGCAAAGACCAGAACAAGGCACGTCGCTCCCGCTCTGCTTCTAGCCCCTCCCCACGCCGAAGCACCCGTGACAAGGAGCAGGCCAAAGCCGCCGTCTCGTCCAAGTTTGAGTGGGCGGCCCGCTTCAGCCCCAAAGTCAACCTGCCAAAGCCCAAACTGTCCCTACCTGGCTCCTCCAAGACAGAGACCACCTCCAAACCTGGGCCCTCAGGACTACAAGCCAAACTAGCAAGTGAGTCTGTCCTGCCCTCTTCTCATACCTGTGTGTACCATTTCATATTTCCCATCAACCAAGGGGGGTTTGGGGTGCTAATATTTGTAATGGGCAGCCAGCCAGGGTCAAAGGGTTGCTGCCCTCAGGTTCGAAGGTTGCAGGGCTGTGTGAGTAGCAGCCTTTGGAGGGTCGGTGTGGTGCTCTGTAGGGGCTCAGGATAGAGGTTACTCGCCGGGTTTAAATGTCACAGGACCTGTGTTGCGGCTTAAGTTACAGAAACTCACTCTGCACTGGGACCTGCTGCTGCCGGGGTGACTGCTTCTCACGCCAAGCACACTCCACCCCACACACACACTCCAAGTGGGGATTAACCCTGCACAGACAGTCGGTGCTGATAAACATGCATGGACATACACAAACAGAGAGCGAACCTTGTAGATAAACTCCCACAGACACACGTGTAACTGATATAGGCAGTCCCAATTCGCTTCTTTGTTCCCTTTGGCCCTAACCCTTCCATGTTTACAGATCTGGAGGGTCTGGATTAGTATAACAGTGTAGTGGTAAACCATATTGCTTACGCCTTAAAGATCTACAAATATCTGGCTTCTCAAGGAGCTGGGTGACTTGTTCAGATTTCAGCTTGTTTCAGTACCAGGCCAGCCTCAAACTGGAAGATATAAATAATCGGTCTGGTGGCTCAACTGTAGCCTGTTGGACTGTGGAAGGACAGACTGATTCACTACAGCCGCTCAGGTGTTGGGTAGGTAGTGAAGGGCTCGCATCAGGAGACTTTTGCTATCAGATCAGTCACAATCAGCCATGAGGTTACGGAGGTCACACCACAGCGATGCATTATGGGAGTTGTAGTGTAGGATGAAGGTAAGACTGCGGCTGTGGCGTGTTTTGAAGAAGTGAATGACAGCACAGCTCCAATTTGAGTTTAAAGCTCGTAGGTGGGAGGTGTCACGAATGTAGTGCATGCGGGCGATGGGAAGATGATCAGTGGTTCAGCGACGGGTCAGTGTGTTCTGGGTTGGGGTAGGGGATTGTAAGATGGTAACCGAGGCTGGGCACGCCCAGCTCCAAACGTGCTCACTCTGAGAGGGCCTGACCAGACCGGCCCACCCTGCCTGCTAACAAGCAGGCATCATTTTCTCACTGAGGAGGGAGGGGAGCGAAGCGAGTGATTCACCCACTTGTATTAAGGGGGAGTGGCACAGATTGTCACTTCTTGTGCACACTGTCACACACACACTCAACATCTATTCTCAGTCTCTGTCGACTCTGCCGCTGTAATGGTGAGTAAGCCAGATTGCATGGTGGGACACGCTGTGATAGCGTGCAACAGGCTTTCTGCTGTAGCGACAATACAATGCCATTTTGATTCTTCTGTTTGTGACTACTTGTCTGCAGACAGACCCTGTATTGTGTGTGTGTTGGGAAAAGGTTAGTCGGCGTGTTGAGACCCTCAGGTTTAGCATGAAGGTTGTTCTGTTCTAGGTCTGTACTAGTGAGAGATGGGCTATTTATACCCTCTCCCAGCGTCGGTGGCACTGGGCTCTCCACTGAGAAAAACACCAGAGCTGTCTGTGTGTGACACTCTACCCTGTGTGGCTGTTACTGTTATGAGTGACTGGTGCTGGTCCACTCTGAACCAGTCCTTGCTCTTGACCGCTATGACACTTGTTAACCCCTAACTACTACTGTACTTAGCCAAGGTGGCTGGCTTCAGTTAAAACCAGGGTTGGGCTAAAATTCCAGTTTTTCTACTGGAAAAACACTGGTTATCACTGCCCAAACAGTTTGGATTGGGTGGAAAATCTAAGCCACCATTTGGTTAGTTGGTTTAGTCTACAACCAGTACTAACATTATAGAAAGGTGCATCTCTGCGTAGCTCAATCATTTGCAAACATATAATTCCTCTTAAGTGATGGAAATGGATGAACTGGTTACCCTTATAGAGCAATCTAATACGTTTCTAGTGGTCTACTATCACTGTGGTTTGTTCTGTCTTTTGCCTTGGCTGTTGTTTACTCATTGGCTCCTTGTTCTGCTCATCAGGTTTGAGGAAGTCCACTAAGAAGCGCAGCGAGTCTCCTCCAGCAGAGCTCCCCAGCTTTCGGCGGAGCACACGGCAGAAGACCACGGGCTCCTGCGCCAGCACCAGGTACTACAGCCTCCCACTGCTCTCAATGTCGTCTCAACTTCTCCAGTCTAAAGCCCCTAGTCAATTGTAGTCGGTTGTATTTCGGTGTGCACCAATATTTTATGGCAGGGGGTGGCTTCCTTGGCAATACATAATGAAATTGTCCCTGAGAAGTCGGTCTTTCAGTGCATACGAAAGTGTGTTGTCAGCCATAACATGTTTTAAAGGGGAAAATCCACTCCAGACATGGGTTATAGTCTGTTCTGTGAGTGGGTAAAATAACTATTTTCACCATGATTTAACTTCTAAGTTGACTGTCTGTGAAATCAGGAAATCGTGTTGTAACGCATCATCATGATAAGGTTCTTGTTACTGGAGATGGGGAATAACACACTATCACATTTCATACCGCTTTTAAAACAATGACCTGCGCTCCAAATTGCCAAATCAGCCAATAGATGGTACCGGCCTCAATCTGTCTATCGTCATGACAAAATATATATTTCCCTTAGATGTGCTCAAACTAAACAGTGGACCAAATTACTCCGCTCAGTTTTCCAATGCACCAGGGCAGTGATTTGGGACATTGCCCTGTGTAGGGTGCCGTCTTTCGGATGGAACGTTTAAACGTATGTCTTGACTCAGTGGTCACAAAAAATCCCATGGCACTTGTTATAAGAGTAGTGATGTTAACCCCGTTGTCCTGGCTAAATTCCATGGCCACCTAATCATCCCCAGCCCCTAATAGGCTCATTCATCCCCCCTCTTTTTTTAAATTTTATAATTTCACCTTTATTTAACCAGGTAAACCAGTTGAGAACAAGTTCTCATTTACAACTGCGACCTGGCCAAGATAAAGCAAAGCAGTGCGATAAAAACAACAACACAGAGTTACATATGGGGTAAAACAAAACATAAAGTCAAAAATACAACAGAAAATATATACAGTGTGTGCAAATGTAGCAAGTTATGGAGGTAAGGCAATAAATAGGCTATAGTGCAAAATAATTACAATTAGTATTAACACTGGAATGATAGATGTGCAAGAGATGATGTGCAAATAGAGATACTGGGGTACAAATGAGCAAAATGAATAACAATATAGGGATGAGGTAGTTGGGCGGGCTAATTTCAGATGGGCTGTGTACAGGTGCAGTGATCGGTAAGGTGCTCTGACAACTGATGCTTAAAGTTAGTGAGGGAGATAAGAGTCTCCAGCTTCAGAGATTTTTGCAATTTGTTCCAGTCATTGGCAGCAGAGAACTGGAAGGAATGGCAGCCAAAGGAGGTGTTGGCTTTGGGGATGACCAGTGAGAGATACCTGCTGGAGCGCAGACTACGGGTGGGTGTTGCTATGGTGACCAATGAGCTAAGATAAGGCGGGGATTTGCCTAGCAGTGATTTATAGATGGCCTGGAGCCAGTGGGTTTGGCGACGAATATGTAGTGAGGACCAGCCAACAAGAGCGTACAGGTCACAGTGGTGGGTAGTATATGGGGCTTTGGAGACAAAACGGATGGCACTGTGATAGACTACATCCAATTTGCTGAGTAGAGTGTTGGAGGCTATTTTGTAAATGACATCGCCGCAGTCAAGGATCGGTAGGATAGTCAGTTTTACGAGGGCATGTTTGGCAGCATGAGTGAAGGAGGCTTTGTTGCGAAATAGGAAACCGATTCTAGATTTAACTTTGGATTGGAGATTCTTAATGTGAGTCTGGAAGGAGAGTTTACAGTCTAACCAGACACCTAGATATTTGTAGTTGTCCACATACTCTAGGTCAGACCCGTCGAGAGTAGTGATTCTAGTCGGGTGGGCGGGTGCAAGCAGCGTTCGGTTGAAGAGCATGTATTTAGTTTTACTAGTGTTTAAGAGCAGTTGGAGGCTACTGAAGGAGTGTTGTATGGCATTGAAGCTCGTTTGGAGGTTTGTTAACACAGTGTCCAATGAAGGGCCAGATGTATACAAAATGGTGTCGTCTGCATAGAGGTGGATCTGAGAGTCACCAGCAGCAAGAGCGACGTCATTGATATACACAGAGAAAAGAGTCGGCCCAAGAATTGAACCCTGTGGCACCCCCATAGACTGCCATAGGTCCAGACAACAGGCCCTCCGATTTGACACATTGAACTCTATCTGAGAAGTAGTTGGTGAACCAGGCGAGGCAGTCATTTGAGAAACCAAGGCTACTTAGTCTGCCAATAAGAATGTGGTGGTTGACAGAGTCGAAAGCCTTGGCCAGGTCAATGAAAACGGCTGCACAGTACTGTCTATTATCGATCGCGGTTATAATATCGTTTAGGACCTTGAGCGTGGCTGAAGTGCACCCATGACCAGCTCGGAAACCGGATTGCATAGCGGAGAAGGTACGGTGGGATTCGAAATGGTCGGTGATCTGTTTGTTGACTTGGCTTTCAAAAACTTTTGAAAGGCAGGACAGGATGGATATGGGTCTGTAACAGTTTGGATCTAGAGTGTCACCCCCTTTGAAGAGGGGGATGACCGCGGCATCTTTCCAATCTCTGGGGATCTCAGACGTTACGAAAGAGAGGTTGAACAGGCTAGTAATAGGGGTTGCGACAATCTCTCCCCTGTAACTATTCCCCAGGTTGTTGTTGTAAATGAGAATGTGTTCTCAGTCAACTTACCTGGTAAAAAAAGATATATCTTGAACTTAACAGCATGCAATGCATGTTTCGCCTCTCCCTACTCGCCCTTGCCTATGTCTGTGGGAAAGCATAGATTCGGTAAAGAGATCTATGGAATTCGACCAAAACAATGGAAGTTCTATGGAAACACCACGCACACGTCCTCGTGGGGGAAAGATTCAGAATCCCCTTATTGTTGCCCTTCAAAATTAGCCTACTTTTAGGCTATTGTTTGTATTTTACACAATGTTGGGGTAAAAATCTTGAATGGATGTTAACACCAATACATGTTAACGTCATCACCAATCAACGGCATCACACTTAAAACGTCTTCAACTACCACCACCTATTTCGATATGGCTTGCTATGCTACCAGCTTATGCAAATGGGAGTTAGCATTTAGCAGACATTTTTCCAAACCCGAAAAGGACTAAATATTATCCAGCAAAATTTTGTAGCCACATTGAGCCTATTAGAACTCCTAAATCATGAAGAATATCCACTTTGTTAGATCAAAGTCTTTGAATGGCCGCCGATGACGACATCTTTGCGCTTTCCCCCGTTCTGCGTTCCATTGACCTCTTCACCGCATGTATGGAAAAGTGCCGTTGCATTACAACGTCAGCCCCCCCTCCTTGAGGCAGACGATCTGCAGGTTGAACATGGTAAGAGTGCAGTTTGTGGATTTTACAGCGGGCTAGCTACTTCACATGCTAATATTGACTTTGATATTATTGTGTGTAGCTACATTTGCTAGCTACCTAGCCAGCCAAGAGAGAGCGCGTTGCATTGTGGGTTTTGTAGTCGACTTGAGTGCAACAGATTTCCACTACAATTTTCACACGTTTCTACCAACCTTATTATAATGACAAAGGAAAATGTATTCGCTAAAAATATTGTTCTCACATATTAGTGTTAACGCTGTAAAAAGGAATTAGTGGTTTTGGGTGGATTATTCCTTCAAAGTACATTTCCAGTGTTTCCAGATTTCTAAGAGATATGACCTATAATTCCAATATGAGTGATAGTTTTCCTTCCAAAGAGTTTTTTAAGTGAATTTTTAAATATTTTTCCAATTTATTCTGTGGCCACATGAGTATCGGACGAGTCGACATTATTTTGGTATGAAGTTTGACATACACCTTAGCCAAATACATACAAGATGAAGAAGCACATGCAGGATTTAAACAGCAAGATCTCCCGTCACGGACTCAACCGCAACGAACTGTAACGGATTCCTCAGATGTGACTCTGGGTGACAACAAGAAGGCTGTGTGTTTTTTCAACATTAGTGGCTGTTTTCCTCGAAAACAAGACATTTTAAAGTCTGCTTCATGTTTTCTTGCCACCGTGCTTCAGAGTGGCGATGCTGGTATCATGACAACCCAACAATCAACTGCTAATCTGCCATTATGGAGTATTGTGTGTAGGCCAGTGACAATCCGTTTTAAATTCAGGCTGTAACAAAGCACTGTGTAAACCCAATCAGAATGTACTCGGATGAAAAGTTACTGAAAGAATGGGGCGGCAGGTAGCTTAGTGGTTAAGAGCGTTGTGCCAGTAACCGAAAGGTCGCTGGCTCTAATCCCCGAGCCGACTAGGTGAAAAATCTGTCGATGTGCCCTTGAGCAAGGCACTTAACCCTAATTGCTCCTGTAAGTCGCTCTGGATAAGAGCGTCTGCTAAATGACTAAAAATGTAAATGTAATACATTTAAACTCAGTTTTTCACAATTCCTGACATTTAATCCTAGTATAAATTCCCTGTCTTAGGTCAGTTAGGATCACCACTTTTATTTTAAGAATGTGAAATGTCAGAATAATAGTAGAGTGATTTATTTCAGCTTTTATTTCTTTCATCACATTCCCAGTGGGTCAGAAGTTTACATACACTCAATTAGTATTTGGTAGCATTGCCTTTAAATCGTTTAACTTGGGTCAAACGTTTCAGGTAGCTTCCCACAATAAGTTGGGTGAATTTTGGCCCATTCCTCCTGACAGAGCTGGTGTAACTGAGTCAGGTTTGTAGGCCTCCTTGCTCGCACACACTTTTTCAGTTCTGCCCACACATGTTCTATAGGATTGAGGTCAGGGCTTTGTGATGGCCACTCCAATACCTTGACTTTGTTGTCCTTAAGCCATTTTGCCACAACTTTGGAAGTATGCTTGGGGTCATTGTCCATTTGGAAGACCCATTTGCGACCAAGCTTTAACTTCCTGACTGATGTCTCGAGATGTTGCTTCAATATATCCACAAAATGTTCCTTCCTCATGATGCCATCTATTTTGTGAAGTGCACCAGTCCCTCCTGCAGCAAAGCACCCCCACAGCATGATGCTGCCACCCCCGTGCTTCACAGTTGGGATGGTGTTCTTCGGCTTGCAAAACAAAACCCCTTTTTTCCTCCAAACATAACGATGGTCATTATGGCCAAACAGCACGATCGTTGTCCCCGTGTGCAGTTGCTAACCGTAGTCGGTCTTTGTTATGGCGGTTTTGGAGCAGTGGCTTCTTCCTTGCTGAGCGGCCTTTCAGGTTATGTCGATATAGGACTCGTTTCACTGTGGATATAGATACTTTTGTACCTGTTTCCTCCAGCATCTTCACAGGGTACTTTGCTGTTGTTCTGGGATTGATTTGCACTTTTCGCACCAAAGTATGTTCATCTCTAGGAGACAGAACGCGTCTCCATCCTGAGCGGTATGACGGCTGCGTGGTCCCATGATGTTTATACTTGCGTACTATTTGTACAGATGAACGTGGTACCTTCAGGCGTTTGTAAATTGCTCCCAAGGATGAACCAGACTTGTGAAGGTATGCAAAAAGAAATTCTGAGGTCTTGGCTGATTTCTTTTGATTTTCCCATGGTGTCAAGCAGAGGCACTGAGTTTGAAGGTAGGCCTTGAAATACATCCACAGGTACACCTCCAATTGACTCAAATGATGTCAATTAGCCTATCAGAAGATTCTAAAGCAATGATGTCATTTTCTGGAATTTTCCAAGCTGTTTAAAGGCACAGTCAACTTAGTGTATGTAAACTTCTGACCCACTGGAATTGTGATACAGTGAATTATAAGTGAAATAATCTGTCTGTAAACAATTGTTGGAAAAATTACTTGGCATGCCCAAAGCAGATGTCCTAACCAACTTGCCAAAACTATAGTTTGTTAACAAGAAATTTGTGGAGTGGTTGAAAAACAAGTTTTAATGACTCTAACCTAAGTGTATGTAAACTACGACTTCAACTGTATATAACTTTCAAAATAGAGATTTTCACTGGACAGTTTAACCATTCAGGAATGTGAACATGATTGTTGTCGTTAGCTGCACATGTCTGCTCGCGTGTGTGTGTGAACATGCGTTCACATTGCGAAGTGTGAGTCAGAGGTGCCTTATGACCAGGAATGTCAGTTGTGTGCTGTCTCGTGTTTGACTGTGGGCTCTGTGTGGTCTAGTTGTTTGCTGCGCAGTCACTCACTGTCCCCCTCTGCCCTTTTCTCCCCCCCTGTCTGTGCAGTCGGCGAGGCTCAGGCCTGGGCAAGCGTGGGGCAGCCGAAGCTCGCCGACAGGAGAAGATGGCCGACTCGGACAACAACCAGGACGGGGCCAACTCCTCGGCCGCCCGCACTGACGAGGCCCCGCAGGGGGCTTCAGGTACAGGTACCTACTGCTGCCAGGGCACAGAGTTTTTCCTTCTCAGTTCGCATGGTCAGGAAAAACTCAGTGCTACGCCTATAATGGTACGCTACCTGCTTGTGGTAGCAGAGATTCTCTCCCCTTGGCCCTTAGTGGATCAAAACATTTGGACTATCCCAATAATTTCTGGTATGTGTTTGGTCTAAACGCATAGGAGCCAGCCAAAGCTTGGTGTAGCCTCTGCTTGGATTGTGTGTGTTCACTAAAATATCATGGACTTTATTCCTAGGCCAGCCTGGGTTTGTATACCCTTTACCTTATCTGAGAGAAATCGGTTGTCATTTTGATGATGAAAATGGCGGTTTAACTGTCCTTGTGTTTTTTTTTCTTTTTTTCTCCAGCTTCTAGCTCAGTGGCCGGCGCTGTAGGGATGACCACATCCGGTGAGAGCGAGTCGGATGACTCTGAAATGGGCAGACTCCAAGGTATGAAGATCACAGCTTTCCTTAGATACAGGTGCCAATGTCCCTGTCTAAAAATAGTTCCCTGTCAGCCCTTGTTGGTGTTGTGGGGTCTTTGGTTGTTGTCTAACCTATCTGTTTTCTCCCCACAGCCCTGCTGGAGGCCAGGGGTCTACCCCCACACCTCTTTGGGCCCTTGGGACCCCGCATGTCCCAGCTGTTTCACAGAACCATAGGCAGTGGAGCCAGTGAGTACTACACTGTCTATGTCCAGAATCCATTTAATTAGCTCTTAACATCTGTGAGCAGGGTCTTTCCATTCTCTCTCAGGGGAGGCATGAAGAGTTCACTTATGTCTGTCTATATTCTTCTAACCCGCTATTCACTCAACTGTAATCCAAGTGTATGCTCACTGTATTCCTGGCAGGGAACATATTAAAAACGTTTCTCCGAGGAGGAGTGCTGATCCCCCTCGCCATATAATCTCATTCAGTTTGATCTTAACGGCTAAACTGATTCTATATCAGCACTCCTACTCTTGCGAATACTGGCCCTGCTGTTTAGTCTCTACTCTGACCTGCTTTATCCCTCCTCTCCTCCCAGGCTCCAAGGCTCAGCAGCTGCTGCAGGGCCTGCAGGCCACCGGCGACGAGTCCCAGCAGCTCCAGGCCGCCATCGAGATGTGCCAGCTGCTGGTGATGGGCAACGAGGAGACGCTAGGAGGCTTCCCTGTGAAGAGCGTGGTGCCCGCTCTGGTGAGTCACTCAATGCTTTGTCCACCTTTTTGTCTTAAGTCATTTTACACAGTGTCTTGATTTGCCAAGTCTCTTAATCCCCTCTTATCTTCCTCACAGATCACATTGTTGCAGATGGAGCATAACTTTGACATTGTGAGTATCCTGAGCTTATATCTTTGGGGGGGAACCCAGTAATTTATTTTCACCATGGCATTAGCCCTACAGTGCAGGTGCTGAAATGTTTCGCAATGAATGTGAAACACTGCAGTCCGTCTCCTAGTTATATTTTGTTGCAAGAAACTGTACCTCAGCACAGTGTTTTAACTGTATGGTTCCAGCCAACATGGTTGCCTTGTGGTTATGCTTGTGAAAACTATCTTACCCCGTGCCTCTGCTCAGATGAACCACGCCTCACGTGCTCTCACTTACATGATGGAGGCGCTGCCTCGGTCCTCTGCTGTGGTCGTGGACGCCATCCCCGTCTTCCTGGAAAAGGTAGGATGACCCCCTCTGCTCAGGTTCAGTAGGCACTAAACACACGCTTTGAAATGGAAACGTTCTCATTAAAGTTTAAGTACTACCTAGTCTTTTGAAAACATGTCCCACCAATTCATGCCTACTGAATGCAACCCAAGTATTTCTAGCCCACACGTTGTTCTGATTTTGTCTTCCATTTCTGTCATTCTCTCACGTTCATTTTACCTCATAGACCCATTAGCATATCCACCACCGGTTTATCTCTCTCTCTCTCCTCTCTTTGCCTGCAGCTTCAGGTGATCCAATTCATTGACGTGGCGGAGCAGGCCCTGACTGCCTTGGAGATGTTGTCAAGGCGACACAGCAAAGCCATCCTGCAGGCTGTAAGTGTTGCTCCCTCTCTCCCACTTGTGGCTCAGCTCTGCCTCTCTCTCTCATGTCATCTCTGCTCCCTACCAGGCTCTCATGGGCTCACCTTAAAATAAGTGTTGATGGTAGTGGCTGTATGATAGATGTGCAGCAGGGTTTCTGTTAGCTGGAAATAGACTGCTTTTGAAAACAATAATAAATAATAGTTGATAAATAGAAATGTTGCTGGCCAAAAAGACTGGGATAAGCAATATGCTTTTTTTATTCATTGATTAAAATACTAGTCGATGGAAATATAGTTGACCATCATGCTTATCAGTCTATAGGTTAATTAGCATACTTTTTATTAAATTGGCCTGTATTTTCGTCTATCACACGCGCACTGCAATCAGCCTATTTTGAGAGGGATTTCTCCTGCAACTCCTCAGCTGGTTGCTGCTGGAGTAAAACATGCTTTTATAAGCCCATTGTGCAACACTTCTAAATTCAATCGCTTGTTAACAGTTTTGGTGCACAATCTAAAAATAGCTATTTTGATTTCTCAACTTGTAATTGATGCACACCTCCCATTCACCGTTCAAGTGCAGGCAACAGGCTATCAGCACATCACACACCACTTTACAATGTGAGCTGGAGGCAGTATGCATTTTGAGAACATAATTCATTGTTTGAAACCTGAATGTTTTATTTAATATTATGAGGCATGCCTTACCTTGCTTCAAAGTAGCCTATAGCCAAAATCCCACCATGAAAACGTGGAGGCAATTCTTTTATAAAGACTTCATAGGCGTTGTGTGAGTTAAGTTTGGGGGAGCTTAAAATGTATCCTTCCATTTCTACCGTTCTGCATGCCAGTTACGATTTTCATATGCTCATTTTTGTGGAACAGTCATTTAAATAATAATTTTTGTTTCTCCATCATTGTCACATGATTACTCATAAAAATCTGAATTAATCATTAAAAAGACAACTAATGCGAGATCACCAGCCTCTACCCTATGGACACATTGATACACCGTGATCCATAGTCGGCTAAAGAAATGAGGGCATTGGAACTCGTAGTCTATAGGCCAACGCAGCAGTAGACCTGTAACTTCCATTGCTCTTTCACACTGGAGATTGGTGATTATCGAGGGGGGAGATTGTTGGAAAGATTTTTCAAATAGCTTACTGTGAGGAGAATGAGAATGGTAAATGACTGTAATACATGCATTTGGAAAGAAGTAGAATGTGCTCAACCAATGTGAGTAGAGGTACAACCTAAAAATCTGTACGCATCATTGGACAGGAAAAGGCACAACGCTCACTCGCCATTAAAACTATGTAGTTTTATTAGACTAGTTTAAAAGATAGAAGTTTCAACCTTCAGAATCAATATATGCAGTAACAGAAATGTATGTAACCAAATTACCGGGATTAACGGTACGTTTACTACTGGTGACGTACACTACATGACCAAGTATGTGGACACCTGCTCGTCAACCATCTCATTCCAATATCATGGACATTAATATGGAGTTGATTTTCCCCCCTTTGCTGCTATAACAGCCTCCACTCTTCTGGGAAGGCTTTCCACTAGATGTTGGAACATTGCTGCAGGGACTTGCTTCAATTCAGCCACGAGCATTAGTGATGTCGGGTACTGATGTTGGGTGATTTAGGCCTGGCTCGTAGTCGGCGTTCCAATTCATCCCAAAGGTGGTTGATGGGGTCAGGGTTCTGTGCAGGCCAGTCAAGTTCTTCCACACCGATCTCGACAAACCATTTCTGTATGGACCTCGCTTTGTGGACGGGGGCATTGTCATGCTGAAACAGGAAAGGGCATTCCCTGAACTGTTGCCACAAAGATGAAGCACAGAATTGTTGAGAATGCTCAGCGTTCAACCCCATAGTGCCCTCAAAGCTCATCACTAAGCTAAGGACCCTGGGACTAAACACCTCCCTCTGCAACTGGATCCTAGACTTCCTGACGGGCCGTCCCCATCTGCAACGCTGATCCTCAACACGGGGCCCCTCCTGTACTCCCTATTCATCCATGACTGCATGGGCAGGCACGACTCCAACACCATCACTAAGTTTGCAGATGACACAAGTGGTAGGCCTGATCACCGACAACGATGAGACAGCCGATAGGGAGGAGGTCAGAGACCTGGCCGTGTGGTGCCAGGATAACACTCTCTCCCTCAACGTGACCTTCGAAAGCATCCTGACTGGTTGCATCACTGCCTGGTATGGAAACTGCTCGGCCTCCGACCGCAAGGCACTACAGAGGGTAGTGCGTACGGCCCAGTACATCACTGGGGCCAAGCTTCCTGCCATCCAGGACCTCTATACCAGGCGGTGTCAGAGGAAGGCCCTAAAAATGGTCAGACTCCAGCCACCATAGTCAGACTGTTCTCCCTGCTACCGCACGGCAAGCTGTACCAGAGCGCCAAGTCTAGGTCCAAAATGCTTCTTAACAGCTACTATCCCCAAGCCATAAGACTCCTGAACAGCTAATCAAATGGCTACCTGGACTATTTGCATTGTCCCCCCTCTTTTACGCTGCTGCTACTCTCAGATTATTATCTATGCATAGTCATTTTAACTCTACCTACATGTACACTACCGGTCCAAAGTTTTAGAACACCTACTCATTCAAGGGTTTTTTCTTTATTTGTACTGTTTTCTACATTGTAGAATAATAGTGAAGACATCAAAACTATGAAATAACACATGGAATCATGTAGTAACCAAAAAAGTGTTAAACAAATCAAAATATCTTTGAGATTCTTCAAATAGCCACCCTTTGCCTTGACAGCTTTGCACACTCTTGGCATTATCTCAACCAGCTTCATGAGGTAGTCACCTGGAATGCATTTCAATTAACAGGTGTGCCTTAAGTTCATTTGTGGTATTTCTTTCTTCCTTAATGCGTTTGAGCCAATCAGTTGTGTTGTGACAAGGTAAGGGGGGTTACACAGAAGATAGCCCTATTTGGTAAAAGACCAAGTCCATGTTATTTCAAGAACAGCTCAAATAAGCAAAGAGAAACAACAGTCCATCATTACTTTAAGACATGAAGGTCAGTCAATACGGAACATTTCAAGAACTTTGAACGTTTCTTCAACTGCAGTCGCAAAAATCATCAAGTGCTATGATGAAACTGGCTCTGAGGACCGCCACAGGAATGGAAGACCCAGAGTTACCTCTGCTGCAGAGGATAAGGTCATTAGTTACCAGCCTCAGAAATTGCAGCCCAAATAAATGCTTCAGAGTTCAAGTAATAGACACATCTCCACATCAACAGTTCAGAGGAGACTATGTGAATCAGGCCTTCATGGTCGAATTGCTGCAACTAAACTACTACTAAAGGACACCAATAAGAAGAAGACTTGCTTGGGCCAAGAAACACGAGAAATTGACATTTAGACTGGTGGAAATGTGTCATTTGTTCTGGAGTCCAAATTTGAGATTTTTGGTTCCAACCGCCGTTTCTTTGTGAGACATGGTGTGGGTGAACGGATGATCTCTGCATGTGTAGTTCCCACCTTAAAGCATGGAGGAGGAGGTGTTATGGTGTAGTGGTGCTTTGCTGGTGACACTGTGATTTACTTAGAATTCAAGGCACACTTAACCAGAATGGCTACCACAGCATTCTGCAGCGATACGCCATCCCATCTGGTTTGGGCTATCATTTGTTTTTCAACAGGACAATGACCCAACACACCTCCAGGCTGTGTAAGGGCTATTTTACCAAGAAGGAGAGTGATGGAGTGCTGCATCAGATGACCTGGCCTCCACAGTCCCCCGACCTCAAACAAATTCAGATGGTTTGGGATGAGTCGGACCGCAGAGTGAAGGAAAAGCAGCCAACAACTGCTCAGCATATGTGGGAACTCCGTCAAGACTGTTGGAAAATCATTCCAGGTGAAGCTGGTTGAGAGAATGTCAAGATTCTGCAAAGCTGTCATCAAGGCAAAGGGTGGCTATTTGAAGTATAAAATATATTTAGATTGTTTAACACTTTTTCTCAATACTACATGATTCCATATGTGTTATTTCGTAGTTTTGATGTCTTCACTATTATTCTATAATGTAGGAAATAGTTTAAAAATAGAAAAACCCTGTTCTAAAACCTTTGACCGGTAGTGTACATTACCTAAATTACCATGACTAACCTGTGCCCCCACACATTGACTTTGTACCGGTTCCCCCTGTTTATAGCTTCGCTACTGTTATTTTACTGCTGCTCTTTAATTATTTCTTATTTTTTACTTATCTATTTTTTTACTTAACACTTATTTTTCTTAACTGCATTGTTGGTTAAGCGCTTGTAAGTAAGCATTTCACTGTTGTATTCGGTGCATGTGACAAATAAAAATTTATTTGAATTGATTGTCATTGAATGCTGTAGCATTAAGAGTTCCCTTCACTGGAATTAAGGGGCCTAGCCCGAACCATGAAAAACTGACCAGACCATTATTCCTCCTCCACCAAACCTTAGTGGTGCTATGCATTGGGGCAGGTAGCATTCGCTTGGCATCCGCCAAACCCAGATTAGTCCGTCGGACTGCCAGATGGTGAAGCGCAATTCATCACTCCAGAGAATGCGTTTCCGCTGCTCCACCGAGTCCAATGGCGGCGAGCTTTACACCATTTCAGCCGACGCTTGCCGTTGCGCATGGTGCTCTTAGGCTTGTGTGCGGCTGCTCGTCCATGGAAACCCATTTCATGAAGCTCCCGACGAACAGTTGTTGGAGCACTCTATTTTGAAAGGTAGATCTGTCCCATCTATCCCTATCCTTGTGTATAACTGTGTGGTGTTTCCTGTGTCGTGCAGGGTGGCCTGGCTGACTGTCTGCTGTACCTGGAGTTCTTCAGCATCAACGCCCAGAGGAACGCCCTGGCCATTGCCGCCAACTGCTGCCAGAGCATCACCCCTGACGAGTTCCACTTTGTCTCTGACTCTCTGCCACTGCTGACCCAGAGACTCACACACCAGGTACACACTCATTCACCTTTTACATGCTCTGCTATATTGCAGGTGAGGTTGGTGTTGTCTGTGGCATGTTACCTGTGAAGATGTCAATTGTTTGTGGTTATTCTCCCCCCCCCCCCCCCGTACAGGATAAGAAATCCGTCGAAAGCACTTGTCTCTGTTTTGCCAGACTGGTGGATAACTTTCAACATGAGGAGGTGAGTGAAGCGGTTGTACTCAACACATTTCTATGGCTCTAACATCGCTCACCCTCCTGAGCAGACCCGTGATGACATCATCACAATGACTGACCCTTGACCTCTGTGTGACCGCTGTCCACAGAACCTGCTGCAGCAGGTGGCCACGCGGGACCTGTTGACCAACATCCAGCAGCTGCTGGTGGTCACCCCGCCCGTGCTCAGCTCGGGCATGTTCATCATGGTGGTGCGCATGTTCTCCCTCATGTGCTCCAACTGCCCCTGTCTGGCCGTGCAGCTCATGAAGCAGAGTGAGTGGCTCACACAGACCGACACGCGCACACACACACACACACGCTTTTTATCGGTACGTATTTACACTGCACACTTGAATAAAGCCTAACAATGCAGCTTACAAAATCTTGGGAAAGTTAAATGTATAAAGACAGTCTAAATGCCTCCAAGGCTAAAGTCCCTGACTGTGTCTAAGCCAATAGCCTGTGGAAAGAGTGAAAACTAAGGACGTTGTCTTTGTTCAGATATCGCAGAGACTCTGCGTTTCCTTCTGTGCGGAGCGGCCAACGGTAGCTGCCAGGAGCAGATTGACCTAGTGCCCCGGAGCCCCCAGGAGCTCTACGAACTCACCTCACTCATCTGGTAATGAACCACCCCCTCTGCTGCTGCTCTCAACCTTAACAACCTTTTCTACCTAAATGGTGGACGTGCATAAAGATGGCGGCCTCCATGCACGCACCACAGATGCCTTGTTTGTGAAGTGCACTGATGCACTTTGCTAACTGTCTTTCTGTTGTCCTCCCCCCCCACCAGCGAGCTGATGCCCTGCCTGCCCAGAGAGGGCATCTTTGCTGTGGACCTCATGCTGAAGAAGGGCAGTGCCCAGGCCACAGAGGGGGCCATCTGGCAGTGGAGGGACGACCGGGGCCTGTGGCACCCCTACAACCGCATCGACAGCCGCATCATTGAGGTAAAGAACAGACATGCCGCTCCGCTCCATTATAGGGACTTTCCTTTCAACCAGACTTGGGGCTCAGAGTTTTTCCTCTTCAGGCGGTCAGGAAAAACTCTTGGCCCTACCTATACTACAACAAAGTAGACTGTCTTCATATGTTATGAGCTGTGTGAATCCCCTGCGTAGCCCAGTGTTACACTAACGTCTGGGGGTGTCTGGTTCTCTCTTCCTCTCCAGACGGCCCACCAGAACGGAGAGGACGAGATCAGCCTGTCCACCCTGGGCCGCGTCTACACCATCGACTTCAACTCTATGCAGCAGATCAACGAGGACACTGGCACAGCACGGGGTATCCAGAGGAAACCCAACCCCTTAGCCAACCCCACTACTGGTGAGAGACACACCACCATTACCTCTAGTCATAGACTATCCCCAAACTGGTGTCCGTTGTATGTGTCTCATGTCAGTTGATGTAGTATGATGCCCTGATTGGTTCTGAGACTAGCTCTATTCACCTGCAAAGATACATCTATATATGGCGCTATAGACACAGTGGAGAAGGGGTCACTGCCCCAAGTTATTGGTTATTTTTTATTGAACCTTTTGAACCAAGTAGTCCCATTGAGGGCAGATTACCTCTTTCCCAATGGAGACATGCTCAAGAGAGATAGCTCTTGAAGCATCTCTTTGTAAACTCTTGTGAAATTGAACAGGGTGCTGCTTTGTGTCTTCTGCACTAGCTGATGGAATCCAATATCTCCTTTGAGTCAAAATAACTATCAAATCTTACATGAGTTTTCCCATCTGTCTGTCCCCCAGGGGGTCTCCAGGAGGTGAGGCGGGAGGATGCACGGGCCCAGCTGATGAAGGAGGACCCTGAGCTGGCCAAGTGCTTCATCAAGACCCTGTTCGGGGTGCTGTACGAAGTGTACAGCTCGTCGGCGGGCCCAGCCGTCAGACATAAGTGCCTCCGAGCCATTCTCAGGATCATCTTCTTTGCCGATGCCGAGCTCCTCAAGGATGTGCTGAGGAACCACGCTGTGTCCAGGTGAACTTTTACGCACAACGTTGGGGGGCTCTTGAGTCAAGATGGCTGCCTCCATGGACAAAAATAAATAGCCAGTATGGCATGTGTCTTTTATACTACAGCTTAACCTCAGTGTTTTTTTGTTTCCTTCTCCCAGTCACATTGCCTCCATGCTGTCCAGCCAGGACCTGAAGATTGTAGTGGGCTCTCTGCAGATGGCTGAGATCCTCATGCAGAAGCTGCCCGACGTATTCAGTGTCTTTTTCAGAAGAGAAGGTAATGGATCCTGCCTGAGCCTGTCTGCGTCACCTCCCCAGAGCAGCTGACCTGTAATGATCCAAAACACCCAGCTGAAACGCAGCTCTTTTCTAGCACCAGGAGCTGCTGTTCAGATGACCTGTTATGATGGGTCCTCCACTGCTATTTGAGCTTCGATGTATTTTAGCAAAGTCATAACACTGAGGTCATAAAAGTCAGATGTCACACCACAATGTACTTATGTCATGGACCACAGAAAGCTGTTTATCAAGCTAAATGTAATAGATTTCCCCTGATATATTGAATCACAATTTCTGACACCATCCTCGTCAATATCAGATAATTGGGAAAAAGGGGAATTTCAATGTATTCCATCTCCCCTCACCTCTGCCCCCCCTCCTCTCTCCAGGTGTGATGCACCAGGTGAAGAACCTGGCTGAGTCTGAGGCCTTCCTCACCAGTCCCCCAAAGGCGTGCACCAGCGGCACGGCTAGCCTGTGTACCACCACCATCAGCACTGCGACCACTACTGTGGCCACCAACGCCACCCCAGACCTGGGCTCACCTAGCTTCCAGCACAGCATGGACGACTCACTAGACCTCAGCCCACAGGGGTGAGTGCACGAATACTAAATACCGTGAATGTGCACGTATGAGAGGTCAGATAGCACACACAAGTACACTCACACACACTCCTCCATAGAACAACATTTATCTCTCCCTCTCTCCTAGACGGTTAAGTGATGTGCTGAAGAGAAAACGTCTGCCTAAGAGAGGGCCCAGAAGGCCCAAGTATTCTCCTCCCAGGGACGACGACAAAGTAGACAATCAGGGTAATTGTTATTGGAACTCTCATATACAATCTCTAAGAATGGATGCAAATGGTTCTCACAGGTGATACAAGTAATGCTAAATGTCAATGATACATTTGTAGTACTAAATGTAAAATTCCTTGTGGAATATACACTACATTACCAAAAGTATGTGGACACCTGCCGAACATCTCGTTCCAAAATCATGGGCATTAATATGGAGTTGGTCCGCCTTTGCTGCTATAACAGCCTCCACTCTTTTGAGAAGGATTTCCACTAGATGTTGGAATATTGCTGCGGGGACTGTCAGCCATGAGCATTAGTGAGGTCAGGCACTGATGTTGGGCGATTAGGCCTGGCTCACAGTCGGCGTTCCAATTCATCCCAAAGGTGTTTGATGGGGTTGAGGTAAGGGTTCTGTGCAGGCCAGTCAAGTTCTTCCACACTGATCTCGACAAACCATTTCTGTATGGACCTCTCTTTGTGCATGAGAATGTTGTCATGCTGAAACAGGAAAGGGCCTTCCCCAAACTGTTTCCACACAGTTGGGAAGCACAGAATCATCTAGAATGTTATTGTATGCTGTAGCTTTAAGATTTCCCTTTACTGGAATTAAGGAGCCTGAACCATGAAAAACAGCCCCAGACCATTATTCCTCCTCCGCCAAACTTTACAGTTGGCACTATGCATTGGGGGCAGGTAGCATTCTCCTGGCATCCGCCAAACCCAGATTGGTACGCCGGACTGCCAGATGGTGAAGCGTGGTTCATCACTCCAGAGAACCCATTTCCACTGCTCCAGAGTCCAATGGCGGCGAGCTTTACACCACTCCAGCCGACGCTTGGCATTGCGCATGGTGATCTTAGGCTTGTGTGCGGCTGCTCAGCCATGGGAACCCATTTCGTAAAGCTCCCGACGAAACAGTTCTTGTGCTGACGTTGCTTCCAAAAGCAGTTTGCAACCGACAGACTATTTTTATGCGCTTCAGCACTCTGCGGTCCCATTCTGTGAGCTTGTGTGGCCTACCACTTCACGGCTGAGCCGTTGTTGCTCCTAGACGTTTCCACTTCACAGTAATACCACTTAAAGTTGACCAGGGCAGAAATTTGACGAATTGACTTGTTGGAAAGTTGGCATCCTATGACAGTGCCACGTTGAAAGTCACTGAGCTCTTCAGTAAGGCCATTCTACTGCCAGTGTTTGTCTATGGAGATTGCATGGCTGTGTGCTCGATTTTATACACCTGTTAGCAACAGGTGTGGCTGCAGTGGCCAAATCCACTAATGTAGACACCCCTTCAAATACTTTGTGTATATATTGTGTGTGTGTGTACTGAACAAAAATATGAACGCAACATGTGAAGTGTTAGTCCCATGTTTCATGAGCTGAAATAAATCAAGCTTATTTCTCTCAAATTGAGCACAGATATGTTTACATCTCTGTTAGTGAGCGTTTCCCCTTTGCCAAGATAATTCATCCACCTGCCAGGTGTGGCATATCAAGAATTTGATTAAACAGCATGATCATTAGAGGTGTACCTTGTACTGGGGACAATAAAAGGCCACTCTAAAATGTGCAGTTGTCACAACACAATACCACAGATGTTTTGAGGGAGTGTGCAATTAGCATGCTGACTACAGGAATGTCCACCAGAGCTGTTGCTGGAGAATTGAGTGTTCATTTCTCTACCATAAGCCGCCTCCAACATCGTTTTAGAGCATGTGGCAGTACATCCAACAAGCCTCACAACTGCAGACCACGCGTAACGATGCCAGCCCAGGACCTCCACATCCGGCTTCTTCACCTGCGGGATCGTCTGAGGGGGTGCTGAGGAGTATTTCTGTCTGTAATAAAGCCCATTTGTGGGGAAAACTCATTCTGATTGGCTGGGCCTGGCTCCCCAGTGGGTGGCCCTATGCCCTCCTAAGGGCCTAATGAATTTATTTAAATAGACTGATTTTCCTTATATGAACTGTAACTCAGTGAAATCTTTGAAATAGTTGCACTTCTTTATATTTTTGTTCAGTAATATATAAACATCTGTATTTTTTTTTACCATGACATTGTTTTGCGTTCATTCAAATCAACAGTATTCAGCACTGCATGGTATCTGCAGCCAGTCGCTGTTCATTACTCCGTGCAAGAGCAACTCGACATATGGCATCGTTGGTCTCCATGCCTCTTTGTGCCTGGAGTCCTGGTATATCTGTCGACAGACATTTATGCAGAATGCAAACCTTGTGATTTTACATTTTAGTCATTTAGCAGACGGGAGCAATTAGGGTTAAGTGCCTTGCTCAAGGGCACATCGACAGATTTTTCACCTAGTCGGCTCGGGGATTAGAACCAGCGACCTTTCAGTTACTGGCACAACGCTCTTAACCACAAAGCTACCTGCCGCCTCATTTTCTTTACCCTAAATAAATACAGCATGAATTTATTCTTAAAAAATCTGGTGTCTATTTCAAACCTCTGTAGCAGCGTTTCCCAAACTTGGTCCTGGGGACCTAAGGGGTGCACATTTTGGTTTTTGCCCTAGCTCTACACAGCTGATTCATGTAATCGACTTATCATCAAGCTTTGATTATTTGAATCAGCTGTCTAGTGCTAGGACAACAACCAAAAAGTGCACCCTTTGGGGTCCCCAGGACTGAGGTTGGTAAACGCTGAACTATAGGGTATCATTTGAGACACAAACTTTCATGTGACTAACCATTTTCCCGTTTCTACAGCCAAGAGTCCTACCACCACTCAGTCCCCCAAATCCTCCTTCTTGGCCAGTCTGAACCCCAAGACCTGGGGCAAGCTAGGCGCCCAGACCAACAGCACCAACTCTGAGCCCTCTCGCACGGCCGGGGTGAGCGGCCTGGCACGCGCCCCTCCCAAGGACTCAGTCTCCAACAACAGGTACGACGAAGACGCTGGTGGTGATGACAAAAGTGTTGATTTTAAAACAGTGTTGGTAGTACTGATGATTAAGTTGGTAGTTTGGGTGGTTATAATAATAGTGTTGGTGATTATCATTGGCTCGCTCAGAAAATGTTACTAGGGCTGCGTTCATTACGAAAAATTGTGTGCATTGTTCATTTAAACGGAAACGGTGCTGTTCTGAAAGATCAGTTGGAAATCGTGGAGGGGTTGGGTTGTGCAAATATGAGGATTCAAAATGCTCTGCTGCCTATTTTAAATACATCACTCATTGCTTCAAGCTACCCCCCTCCACACAGAACATATGTACCACAAACTCTGTTCAAGAGCATTGAATGTTTTGGGGAAAGGTGTCGTTCAGTAAACTGTCACGAAATGTAGCAAGTGTTTAATCCTGGGGTGTCAAAACAAATTTTGCCCCGCATTAGGCATTCCCCCAAGGGCCTGAGAGCTGCACTTAAAATTGAATGGGTTTGAGGATCCGGCCCTTGGCCGTATGTTTGACCCCTGGTTTAATTGATCGTGCCCTGGCTGTCAAATCTTCAATTCCTGCTGGATCCAAGCTCTCTCCCCTCAGACGACCTCTGCTTTGAGAGGGACTTACGGAATCAGTGGTGTTGGTAGTGTTGGTGGTGATGATAATGATGATGGGGTTTCCCCCCGTACAGGGAAAAGATCAAGGCTTGGATCAAAGAGCAGGCCTGTAAGTTTGTGGCGCGCTACTTCAACACTGAAAACATTGATGGCAGCAACCCTGCACTGAATGTACTCCAGAGACTCTGCACCGCCACGGAACAGCTCAGCCTGCAGGTACTGTACTCCACAAGTCTCCCATGTTGTAGTGTTGCACACGATGAAAGTAAATACGTAGTCATTAGTTGACATCTTGGAGACTGCTTTGGAGACCGTGTTCGCTAATACTAATTTGCGAAAACAGCAGTTTGTTTTGCTGTGCTGTTTTGCTGGTACATGGTACTATCTACATTGCTAGCTAATGACAAGGTCATTAAGGTACGGTAGTGGGTGACTTGGGATATGATAATAACATTCTTGACCGCTGTCACACACCCCTCCAGATGGACGGTGGCGTGGAGTGCCTCGTGGAGATCTGCAGCATCGTGTCAGAGTCGGACGTGTCGTCGTTCGAGATCCAGCACAGCGGCCTGGTCAAGCAGCTGCTGCTCTACCTGACCTCCAGCAGTGACCGTGACCTGGTCAGCCGTGACATCCGCCTCAAGAGGTTCCTGCATGTCTTCTACGGCTGCCCGGTAAGTCTTTTCGGCTGGTCAGAAGCACAGAACTAGAATGAGATTCTATTTCCATGGTCAGAAGCTTTCATCCTTTCTCAGTATCCAGTGACTGACAATGTAGCCAACTCCAGTCTATAAGGCCATTTAGGCAGAGACTGGAGCTCAAGGCCCTAGTTATTGGCTATACAACTCATGGCTCTAAATACAGTATAAAGCCAGTATGCGGGTTTGCTCTCAGGCTAGAATGAATGGCGGCTGGTGTGTACGAGAACAAATCTCTAGTGTTCAAAAGGTACTCACTCAAACGAGCCCCGCCCTCTGAGTTTTGTGGCCTACTTGAGTATTGCATCTATCTATTGCTTATAATATTATGTAGCCTAGACCAGTGTTTCCCAACTCTGGTCCTCGAGTACCCACAACAGCACATTTTTGTTGTAGCCCCAGACAAAAACACCTGATCCAACTCATTGAGGGCTTGATGATTAGTTGACAAGTTGAGTCAGGTGTTTTTGTCCGGGGCTACAACAAAAATGTGTGCTGTTGGGGGTAGTGGAGAACTGGAGTTGGGGAACACTTCCCTAGACAGTTTTTTTTTCTTCATCCAATTATGTGACATTTGAAATTTCTGTTTTTGATATTCTTCTACATATTCCCTGTTAATATACATTGACTTCCTATTCGCAAGTATCTTATTAACTATATCTGCTTGCGCCAGTTATGCACAGCAGGTGTCTTAAATACATGTCTCCATTTGTTTGTACAGCACAGATGAAGGCATAAGGCTGAAACCTATGCTCCTTTTTTATTTATACTGAACACAAATATAAACACAACAATTTCAACGATTTTACGGAGTTACAGTTCATATAAGGAAATAATTCAATTGAAATCAATTAATTAGGCCCTAATCTATGGATTTTACATGACTGGGAATACAGATATGCATCTGTTGGTCACAGATACCTTAAAAAAAAAAGTACGGTCGTGGATCAGAACCAGTGACCACTGTTTGCCTCATGCAACATGACATCTCCTTCGCATAGAGTTGATTGTGGCCTGTGGAATGTTGTCCCACTCCTCTTTAATGGCTATGTGAAGTTGCTGGATATTGGCGGGAACTGTATCCTCACCTAAACCAGATGTCAGCAGAGTTCTCAGCCATTATCCTCACCTAAACACTGGAACACGTCATCGTACACGTCGATCCAGAGCATCCCAAACATGCTCAATGGGTGAGATGTCTGACTATGCAGGCCATGGAAGAACTGGGACATTTTTAGCTTCCATGAATTGTGTACAGATCCTTGCGACATGGGGCTGTGCATTATCATGCTGAAACATAAGGTGATGGCGGCGGATGAATGGCATGGCAATGGGTCTCAGGATCTCGTCACGGTAACTCTGTGCATTCAAATTGGCAATTTGTCCGTAGCTTATGCCTGCCTGCCCGTACCATAACCCCACCGCCACCATGGGGCACTCTGTTCACAATGTTGACATCAGCCAACCGCTCGCCCACACGACGCCATACATGTGGTCTGCGGTTATGAGGCCGGTTGGACGTACTGCCAAATTCTGTAAAACGACGTTGGAGGCGGCTTATGGTAGAGAAATTCACATTCAATTCTCTGGTAACAGCTCTGGACATTACTACAGTCAGCATGCCAATTGCACACTCCCTCAACTTGAGACATCTGTGGCATTGTGTTGTGACAACTGCACCTTTTTGTGGCCTTTTAGTTACCCCAGCACAAGGTGCACCTGTGTAATGATCATGCTGTTTAATCAGCTCCTTGATATGCCACACCTGTCAGGTGGATGGATTATCTTGTCAAAGGAGAAATGCTCACTAACAGGGATGTAAACAAATTTGTGCACAACATTTGATAGCAAGCTTTTTGTGTATGGAAAATTTGTTCAGTGTATTTTTATAGCATCTTGCACATTCACCCTTGTATTTTTTCAAGAATGTATTAAATTAAGTATATTATTTTTGCATCTCGGCCTCCTTGGGTTATTCCTTTTCATGGTTTTGAGTGCCAGCACCTTTTGAACACTAAATACAGTGACACAATTGACTGCTAAACCATGCTTTGTCAGCTGTTTTTTAACAACGGCAAAGTTCAAAGATGGTTATAGTTCGCAGGAAACAAATGGAATAAAAATGACAAAGGGAGGAACTACCTAAACTTGTCCAACAATAAATGCTTATTTTCAGTTGCAAAACATTTTTATACGATGTGCCCTAATGAATGCGACCCTAGTCTTTGCATGTTGTTTGAACCGTGTCCTTCCTGTGTTTTGCCCATTCAGATCCCGGGGATGGAGCCGGCAGGCCGCCTGGAGCCGTCTGAGAACGGGCCCCTGCTGTCACTGGTGCACAAGATGAACAACTGCCTTAGCCAGATGGAGCAGTTCCCTGTCAAGGTGCATGACTTCCCCAGTGGCAACGGCAACGGGAGCAGGTTAGTTCATTTACCCAGTCCCATCTCTTCCTTCAGTCTCTTCGTTTTTTTGTTCCAAAAACCCTCTCTTTTTAATGTCAGTCATTCACTAGTCCATTCACTAGTGTGTGGTTACTTAATGAGTGATGCCCATTGGCCCTATTGAAGTCTATATGGGTATAGGTGAAGGAAGGTACTTGCCAGTATTGACCTCTGTATCATTGTGATTTTGTCTGTTGACTGGTGGTGTGTGTGTGTGTGTGTGTGTGTGTGTGTGTGTGTGTGTGTGTGTCTCCTTCAGAGGGTCTCAGGCCCTGAAGTTCTTCAACACACACCAACTCAAGTGTCAGCTGCAGAGGCACCCGGACTGCACCAATGTGAAGCAGTGGAAGGGGGGCCCGGTGAAGATCGACCCCCTGGCCTTGGTACAGGCCATTGAACGCTACCTGGTGGTCCGAGGTGAGCACTGGGAAATGTCTCTTTGCTTTGAGTCACTGACTTAAGGCTTTTCACTCCGTGAGGAGCATAGGTCACCCACAAATAATCTTCACCGAACTGGGGTGGTTTCTCAAGTTCCTTCCCAGAGTATTTCTGTTCTTCCTTCTCTGTTGGAAGAATAGTATGTCTCCTTTTATTACTGACATTTATGGGTAACATGCTGATGTGTCTCTACAGGTTACGGACGAATCAGAGAGGAGGATGAGGACAGCGATGATGATGGTTCAGACGATGAAATTGATGAATCTCTGGTACGTGTCTACAATGTCCTTTCAAAATACCCTCCATATCAGATCATAACTTCATCTACCCCCACCAGTAACTAATTATGTTACCTCCAACCCTAACTTGACCGTCTATCCCGGTCCAGGCGGCCCAGTTCCTGAACTCTGGCAGCGTGCGCCACCGGCTACAATTCTACATCGGCGACCACCTGCTGCCCTACAACATGACTGTGTACCAGGCGGTGCGGCAGTTCAGCCTGCAGGCCGAGGAGGAGAGAGAGTCCACGGACGACGAGGCCAACCCGCTCGGACGGGCTGGCATCTGGACCAAAACCCACACCATATGGTATCCCCTTTACGCTGGCTGGCCACACACACCAGTCTCAATAGGCTGGACTGGTTAACAAACACAATGGACTGATGTTTGTAGTGGGTGGCTGTTAGGGTTGTGCAGTGTAGCCACCTTCCCTGAGATGCGACACACACACACACACACACACACGTGTCCATCGACGGCTGAGTTGGTGAGCAAATGCAACTAACTGACATGGCAATGTAGTCACTTTCCCCGAGATGATTTCCACAGACACATTCTCTCTCTATCCCATCAGGTATAAGCCAGTGAGGGAGGATGAGGATGGCACTAAGGATGCGGTGGGAGGGAAGAGGGGCCGGGCACAGACCGCCCCCACCAAGACCTCGCCCCGCAATGCCAAGAAACAGGACGAGCTGTGGCACGGTAGGAACCACCACCACCACCACTTCTGGGCCTAGATGGGTGGGAGTCTGTGTTGTCTACTAGCCTGGCGACTGAGAGACCAGTTCTGCTTGTTTCTTTTGTAGTGCAACTCTAAAGTACTCATTACAGTGGAGAGGAAGTGATCTGACCTGCTACTCCTGCTTGAAACAAGTTGTTAGTGGACCTTTCGCTAAGCCCTGCCCCCTTGGTTACTGTTGCAACCATTTTCGCGAGAAGCCCAATTCCCCTTTTTCAAACCACTGGAGAAAACCCCTCACAATGATCCTTAAGTCTTTGACTCACCCGTGCGTCAATATAAGTAACTTCAATCTAAAAAAAACCCATCGAAATCCGTCAGTTTAAGCTAGAGAGATGTTTTTTGGCCTGGGTTGTCTCTCAATCCACCATATCTGCCTATGTCCGCCTTCCGCATCTGCGGTGGTAACCCATTCATCTGAAGGTAACCCATTACAAATGTATGGAGGTAGTTTTGTGGAAACAAAAGTAAGGGGTTAAATATTTCCCCAAAACAATATTATCGAATGGTCAATTGGCTTTTTTTTGACCATCTGAATGAATGTGACCTGAGATGACCTGTTAACACAAACCCACATATATTGGCTGTCTAATCAATTAATCAAATGTATTTCTAAAGCTTTTTTTTTTTTTACATTAGCTGTTGTCCCAAAGTGCTTTTGCACCAACCCCCTGGCCAAAGGGCTTTGACAGTCTTAAATGTCACCCTATTCTCCACACCGTATTACTTTGAAAGTTGTGCACTCCATAGGAGATTTGACCATTGTATCACCTACACTAAATCTGCCCATTCACATCCTTATCTCATACTATACATTTTGCCATGTCAGTTTAGCTACTACATATCTGGGTCGTATTCATTGGGCACAAAACATGAGAAAATTATTGAAACAGGAAGGGACTACCTGCCCTTGTCCAATAAGAAATGTTTACAAACGTTACAAACTGTTTTGCTACCGTGTGCACTAATGAATATGACCCTGACTTGCTGTCTCTCCCCTGCCAGACGGCGTGTGTCCCAGCGTGGCCAGCCCCTTGGAGATGTACCTCATGTCGGAGCCCCCGGAGAGCATCACCTTTGACGACCCGTCTCTGGACGTCAACCTGCTGCTGAGGGTGCTGCACTCCATTAGTAGTTACTGGTTCTACCTTTACGACGTGAGTAGCCTGTCCTATCCTCTCTCCACCTCGCAGATACTGGCTCTAACTTCACTAACTGAACAACATACTGGTTGAGTCCCACATAGCACTCTATAACCTTTTATAGTGCACTACTTTTGACCAGGGCCAATACGACTCTGGTCAAAGCTAGTGCACCATGTAGGGAATAAGTTGCCATTTGTGACACAAGCCTGTAGGTCTGCCTCCAACATATTCCACTGTCTGTGTCATGCATGTTCTACTTAATGCTAATTATATCTTTATAGTCTTTGTGGGCTTGTAGGAGGTAAACCAGAGTGTACCATGACTATAACTGTCTGCTAGCTAGACAGCCCTGTTAGTGCACACAGTTGCCCAAAATAACTGTCCTTTTTGCATTCAAACAGAACCTAGCCGCCTGTGTCTTTGTCTCCCTTTGCTTCAGAGAGGCAGAGGCACTCCGTTGTTGTTGTAGTTCCAGTAGATTGAGGTTGTTGTTATTTTCAGAATGCTGTGTCTAAGGAGATCATCCCCACCAGTGAGTTCATCAACAGTAAGCTGACAGCCAAGGCCAACCGACAGCTGCAGGACCCTCTGGTCATCATGACCGGCAACATCCCCACCTGGCTCACAGAGCTCGGCAAGACCTGGTAACTCATCAGACTACTTTTCAGCTCATAAACATCCATTGGTTCAGAACACACAAAAACCTGCCTAGCTTTAGTTTTTCTGAATATTTGGCCTAGTATTCACTAATGTAATGTCCTCAAACTGCATGTCTAGACGAGGGTTGGGGACAATTTAAATTCAGGAAGTAAACTGAAACTTCAATTCCAATTTTCTCTAATAGGCACAAGATTAACCCCACAAAATAACAACTGAATATATACACTATTTTATTAGGTAAAACACCCCTTCCACGAAAATGGATCGTTCCTACAGACAGTGAGTCACGTGGCTAGCTATGTAAAGCAGGCATCGAGGCATTCAGTTACTGTTCGATTGAATGTTAGAATGGGCAAAACTAGTGACCTAAGCGACTGAGCGTGGTATGATCATCAGTGCCAGGCACGCCGGATCCAGTATCTCAGAAACTGCCGCACTCCTAGGCTTTTCACACCCGTCAGTGTCTAGGGTTTACCGAGAATGGTGCGACAAACAAAAAAACATCCAGTCAGGATGTGGGCGAAAACCTGATAGGCGAAAACCTGATGAGAAAGGTCGAAGGAGAATGGCAAGAATCGTGCAAACTAACAGGCGGGCCACAAACAGACCAATAACGGTGCAGAACGGCATCTCAGAATGCACAACTCGTCGATCCTTGTTACAGATGGGCTATTGCAGCAGACGACCACACCGGGTTCCCCTCCTATCAGCTAAAAACGAGAAGTGGCTCCAGTGGCCACGCGATCACCAACACTGGACAATTGAGGGGTAGAAAAACAGCCTGGAACATGAAAGCAAGTTTAGTTTTCTTGAGTGGCCTGCGCAGTCCCCAGACCTCAACCCAATAGAACATCTTTAGGATGAGATGGAACGGGCTGTTTGCAGCATGAATGTCCAATCTGCAGCAACTGCGTGATGTCAGCGTGGACCAACATCCCTGTGGAACGTTTCCGACACCTTGTAGAATGCCCCGTAGAATTCAGGCTGTTCTGGAGGCAAAATGGGGTCCGATCCGGTACTACACTGAATAAAAAATATAAACGCAACATGCAACAATTACAACGTTTTTAGTTAGTTACAGTTCATGTAAGGAAATCAGTCAATTTAAATAAATAAATTAGGCCTTAATCTATGGATTAAATATGACTGGGTATACAGATATGCTGACATTTTTTGGGATCTTTTAATTTTCACCTCATAAACATGGGACCAACACTTTACGTGTTGCATTTTATATTTTTGTTCTGTATAGATGGGTGTACCTAATAAACTGTCCGGTGAGTGTGTATATATGCCATGCATTTTGACCAATTATTTTGTCACTCCTCTCCCTCCTCCCCAGTCCCTTCTTCTTCCCGTTCGACACACGCCAGATGCTCTTCTATGTAACGGCGTTTGACCGCGACCGGGCCATGCAGCGCCTCCTCGACACCAACCCCGAGATCAACCAATCAGATTCTCAGGACAGCCGCGTTGCGCCCCGCCTCGACAGGAAAAAGGTGTTGAATATGTTAGAATGATGTTGGTGTAATGTCACATAATCAGGTCAATGGATGCATTTCAAATGCCTTTCTGGAATAGAAGAGTGGACGTCCCCAATTAATTATCCAGCCAGCTCATCTGCTTTTTGTACCCTACCGACTCCTGTTTGTCTTTTCACTAACTCCACCTTTCTGCTCGTCCCCCTCTGTCTCTAGCGAACGATAAACCGTGAGGAGCTGCTGAAGCAGGCGGAGTCAGTGATGCAGGACCTAGGCAGCTCCAGAGCCATGCTGGAGATCCAGTATGAGAACGAGGTACAGTACACGCATTCACACCCTCATTACAGAGCACTATTCAATCACCTCTATTTTAAGTTCTTCCCTCTCATAAAAAGTAAGGTACCACAGAACCCGGAGTCGTCTGGGGGGGTTGATTTTGAACATGACCCTAGACTTATCTGGATAGAAGCTCATCTCTCCTCCCTCTATTTCTTTCTCTCTCTCCCTCCCTCTTTTCCTTTTCTCTCTCATCTTACTCGCTGTCTCGCTCTCTCCCTTCCTCCCCCCTGTCCTTCTGTCAGGTGGGCACAGGGCTGGGTCCCACCCTGGAGTTCTACGCCCTGGTCTCCCAGGAGCTGCAGAGGGCCGACCTCGGGCTGTGGAGGGGTGAGGAGGTCACCCTGTCCAACCCCAAAGGTAACTTTTTACTCCAACCCTCTTCCCCAGATTTGCCTCTAAATAGGAGCTCCTAAAAACGTTTTAGAAGCAATTTCTGCAACAAATCAACTACCGTTATTTGGACAGAAATGTGATTTATTTTAGATATAAAAGCACTCCTACAGTTTTCCAAGATGTGCCTGGGTGGCAACTGTTTAGTCACATCATGCTGAGATAGGGATTCCTGATGAGGACTTGTCTTTGAGACCTATATTGGAACAACTCTTCCTCTCCCTAAATTTCCTCTCTTCTCCACCATCTTGTTTTCCCTCTCCCAGGAAGCCAAGAAGGGACCAAGTACATGTTCAGCTCCCGAGGGCTGTTTGCCGTTCCCTTCGGCAGGACAACCAAACCGGCGCACATCGCCAAAATCAAGATGAAGTTCCGCTTCCTGGGCAAGCTGATGGCCAAGGCCATAATGGACTTCAGACTGGTAAACATTAACACTTTGTTGTACCTCTGACCAGTGGACCAGTCTCTGTGTAGTCTCCAATGCTAATGCTTCTAGCCTTTCTATTTAGTCCTTTTGGAGTGGTTTTTACACTTGCATTACTTCACTTAAGCCCTGTTTGCTTGGTTTGCAGGAATAAAGTTGGGTGATTTTAACTCTCCTCTTCTACAGCCCTCCTATATGCTCTCACCTTTCAAGCATAGTTTTACATTCACCTGAACCTCTCAGTAGGGAGCCCTCTGCTACTCTAACACCTCTGTCTCCTCTCCACTCCCTCCCAGCTGGACCTGCCCCTAGGGCTGCCCTTCTACAAGTGGATGCTGCGGCACGAGACGTCCATCAGCTCCCACGACCTGGTCAACATCGACCCGGGTGTGGCCAAGTCCATCCAGCACCTGGAGGACATCATCCGCCAGAAGAAGAGGCTGGAGCAGGACCGCTCCCAGGTCAGCCCAATACACAACCTCCCCAGACGCATCTAACCTCGTAGTCATTACAATTTGTCTTTGGTGTTGAGAACTTGGACGCTCTTACGGAGATCTTTCTCAGCGATGGCGTTCGTAGTGGTATCTATAGTAAGGCTTGATTTACACTCCACTAGACATCCGCTTTGTGACTCTCCCCACGCACTGCGCAAAGGACTCCGCAGTCCGCACGGAAATATAATGCGTGTCAGAATGTACAACTTTACCCAAGTGTCAGTGATGATTTGCTAAGGATAGTACTTGGAGTGTAAACCCAGCCTAACTTCTGAGTTCAACCATTATGTCCCCTACCTTTTCAGATTGATGCTCCACCATGTTACGTTCCCCATATTCATAAAAGGCTTGTTTCCTCCTTGTGTGTGTCTCCTAGACGAGGGAGAACCTGCAGCAGGCTCTGGAGAGTCTCAACATGAATGGCTGCTCTGTGGAGGACCTGGGCCTGGACTTCACCCTGCCCGGTTTCCCCAACATCGAGCTGAAGAAGGGGGGCAAGGACATCCCCGTCACCATTTACAACCTGGAGGAGTACCTCAGGGTGGGTTGGACTTTACAGACAAACACACAGAGCTCCTACATATAGACTCTCCACACACCAGTGTCCACCTCTTATGGAGCTGACCGTTGGTCCCCTTCTCTCCACAGCTGGTGGTCTACTGGACGATGAACGAAGGCGTGTCCCGGCAATTTGAGTCTTTCAGGGAAGGGTTCGAGTCGGTCTTCCCTCTGCATCACTTGCAGTATTTCTACCCTGAAGAGGTGAGTACTGTTTATCGCTAATCCCAAGAAACAACTATTTATTTAGCTGTTCTGTTTGTCTTCAGGATGTCACGTTGCTAACCCCCTCTGTGCTCTCCCATCCGCCTGTAGTTGGATCAGCTGCTTTGTGGCAGCAAGTCCGAGACCTGGGATGTCAAGACCCTGATGGAGTGCTGTCGTCCCGACCACGGCTACACGCATGACAGGTGAGCTACTCCACCCCCAAGAGCTCTGACCAGACCTACATTGAGTGTCATGTTTAGGACTTGTCAGAGTGCAGTGGTTTGATGTGTTATGTTTCTCTCCACAGTCGTGCTGTGAGGTTCCTGTTTGATGTGCTCAGCAGTTTTGACGCAGAGCAGCAGAGACTCTTCCTGCAGTTTGTCACAGGAAGCCCCAGGCTGCCTGTTGGAGGTGAGTTGTCATACATACAAACAGTTGAAGTCGGAAGTTTACATACACTTAGGTTGGAGTCATTAAAACTCGTTTTTCAACCACTCCATAAATTTCTTGTTAACAAACTATAGTTTTGACAAGTCGGTTAGGACATCTACTTTGTGCATGACACAAGTAATATTTCCAACAATTGTTTACAGACAGATTATTTCAATTAGAATTCACTGTGTCACAATTCCAATGGGTCAGAAGTTTACATACACTAAGTTGACTGTGCCTTTAAACAGCTTGGAAAATTCCAGAAAATGATGTCATGGCTTTAGAAGCTTCTGATTGACATCATTTGTGTCAATTGGAGGTGTACCTGTGGATGTATTTCAAGGCCTACCTTCAAACTCAGTGCATCTTTGCTTGACATCATGGGAAAATCAAAAGAAATCAGCCAAGACCTCAGAAAAAGTCTGGTTCATCCTTGGGAGCAATTTCTAAACGCCTGTAGATGCTGGAGGAAACGGGTACAGAAGTATCTATATCCACAGTTAAACGAGTCCTAAATCGACATAACCTGAAAGGCCGCTCAGCAAGGAAGAAGCCACTGCTCCAAAACCACCATAAAAAAAGCCAGACTACGGTTTGCAACTGCACATGGGGACAAAGATCGTACCTTTTGGAGAAATGTCCTCTGGTCTGATTAAACAAAAATAGAACTGTTTGGCCATAATGACCATTGTTATGTTTGGAGGAAAAAGGGGAAGGCTTGCAAGCCGAAGAACACCATCCCAACCGTGAAGCACGAGGGTGGCAGCATCATGCTGTGGGGGTGCTTTGCTGCAGGGGGGACTGGTGCACTTCACAAAATAGATGGCATCATGAGGAAGGAAAATTGTGGATATATTGAAGCAACATCTTAAGACATCAGTCAGGAAGTTAAAGCTTGGTCGCAAATGGGTCTTCCAAATGGACAATGACCCCAAACATACTTCCAAAGTTGTGGCAAAATGGCTTAAGGACAACAAAGTCAAGGTATTGGAGTGGCCATCACAAAGCCCTGACCTCAATCCTATAGAACATGTGTGGGCAGAACTGAAAAATTGTGTGAGCAAGGAGGCCTACAAACCTGACTCAGTTACACCAGCTCTGTCAGGAGGAATGGGCCAAAATTCACCCAACTTATTGTGGGAAGCTTGTGGAATGCTACTCAAAACGTTTGACCCAAGTTAAACAATTTTAAAGGCAATGCTTACAAATACTAATTGAGTGTATGTAAACGTCTGACCCACTGGGAATGTGATGAAAGAAATAAAAGCTTAAATCATTCTCTCTACTATTATTCTGACATTTCACATTCTTAAAATAAAGTGGTGATCCTAACTGACCTAAGATATACTTTTTACTAGGATTTAATGTCAGGAATTGTGAAAAACTGAGTTTAAATGTATTTGGCTAAGGTGTACAGTGGGGAAAAAAAGTATTTAGTCAGCCACCAATTGTGCAAGTTCTCCCACTTAAAAAAATGAGAGAGGCCTGTAATTTTCATCATAGGTACACGTCAACTATGACAGACAAATTGAGATTTTATTTTCCAGAAAATCACATTGTAGGATTTTTAATGAATTTATTTGCAAATTATGGTGGCAAATAAGTATTTGGTCACCTACAAACAAGCAAGATTTCTGCCTCTCACAGACCTGTAACTTCTTCTTTAAGAGGCTCCTCTGTCCTCCACTCGTTACCTGTATTAATGGCACCTGTTTGAACTTGTTATCAGTATAAAAGACACCTGTCCACAACCTCAAACAGTCACACTCCAAACTCCACTATGGCCAAGACCAAAGAGTTGTCAAAGGACACCAGAAACAAAATTGTAGACCTGCACCAGGCTGGGAAGACTGAATCTCCAATGGGTAAGCAGCTTGGTTTGAAGAAATCAACTGTGGGAGCAATTATTAGGAAATGGAAGACATACAAGACCACTGATAATCTCCCTCGATCTGGGGCTCCACGCAAGATCTCACCCCGTGGGGTCAAAATGATCACAAGAACGGTGAGCAAAAATCCCAGAACCACACGGGGGGGACCTAGTGAATGACCTGCAGAGAGCTGGGACCAAAGTAACAAAGCCTACCATCAGTAACACACTACGCCGCCAGGGACTCAAATCCTGCAGTGCCAGTACATGTCCAGGCCCGTCTGAAGTTTGCTAGAGTGCATTTGGATGATCCAGAAGAGGATTGGGAGAATGTCATATGGTCAGATGAAACCAAAATAGAACTTTTTGGTAAAAACTCAACTCGTCGTGTTTGGAGGACAAAGAATGCTGAGTTGCATCCAAAGAACACCATACCTACTGTGAAGCATGGGGGTGGAAACTTCATGCTTTGGGGCTGCTTTTCTGCAAAGGGACCAGGACGACTGATCCGTGTAAAGGAAAGAATGAATGGGGCCATGTATCGTGAGATTTTGAGTGAAAACCTCAAGGGGAAGCAAGGGCATTGAAGATGAAACGTGGCTGGGTCTTTCAGCATGACAATGATCCCAAACACACCGCCCGGGCAACGAAGGAGTGGCTTCGTAAGAAGCATTTCAAGGTCCTGGAGTGGCCTAGCCAGTCTCCAGATCTCAACCCCATAGAAAATCTTTGGAGGGAGTTGAAGGTCTGTGTTGCCCAGCGACAGCCCCAAAACATCACTGCTCTAGAGGAGATCTGCATGGAGGAATGGGCCAAAATACCAGCAACAGTGTGTGAAAACCTTGTGAAGACTTACAGAAAACGTTTGACCTGTGTCATTGCCAACAAAGGGTATATAACAAAGTATTGAGAAACTTTTGTTATTGACCAAATACTTATTTTCCACCATAATTTGCAAATAAATTCATTAAAAATCCTACAATGTGATTTTTTGGAGAAAAAAATTCTCAATTTGTCTGTCATAGTTGACGTGTACCTATGATGAAAATTACAGGCCTCTCTCATCTTTTTAAGTGGGAGAACTTGCACAATTGGTGGCTGACTAAATACTTTTTTTCCCCACTGTATGTAAACTTCCGACTTCAACTGTACATACATATATACACACTCACTCACCATACACACTTGAAGAATTGTTGTGCCTCAAAGTTGCGTGGTCCCGTTCTCAGATTTGAGGTTTGAACAACCCACACTTTGGGTGACATGTTTTCCGAGTGCGATGCACTTTAACTGCAGTCATGTCGCGCCCTCATGCACTTAGTAAAGAAATGAACGGGACACCGCTCACCCTACACACAAATACACATTAAGACCGTAGACCTCAAGTACAGAGAATGGGACGAGGCAAAGGCATGTTAAGTATGTCGACAGACGAATCCAACCATGGCTCAGTTTTGATCAGATTCTGAGCATGCCACTGCTCTCTCCTCCAGGTTTCCGTAGTCTGAACCCACCGCTGACCATCGTGCGGAAGACTTTTGAGTCGACGGAGAACCCGGACGACTTCCTGCCGTCGGTTATGACCTGCGTCAACTACCTGAAGCTGCCCGACTACTCCAGCATCGAGATCATGCGCAAGAAACTGTTGATTGCGGCCCGCGAGGGCCAGCAGTCCTTCCACCTGTCCTGATCTCGCGGTCTCCCTCTCCCATTCAAAATGCCTTCTACAGCAAACTGACGAAATCATGACTTCCTTCTAGTTTATTCTTTTTGTAATCACCTACATCAAGGCAAAATGTGTACAGCCTTCTTGTTAGAGAACGCAGCTTGCAGAAATTAAAAAAGGACTTGAGATATATATTTGCTGCCCCTGTCTCTCCTACAAAAAAAAGGTGTTACATGACTCGCAGAACTTTAAAAAAAATAAAACTGCAAAAATATTATCAGTAGAGTAATGTTTAAAAATAAAAAAAACGTGGGTGACATTTTAAATGTGTTGCTGTGTGATATTTAAAGGTATGTTTCCTCTCCAGAGTGGTGAATGACGTCACTGTGGTGGGGAGGGAAGGTCAATTGAGCAAGCTAGGTTCACTTTAGCTCCAAAGATAATTTGTACAGAAAAATTTGCAGACTTTGCTCATTCTACACATTTGATAGAATAGCTCTTTGTTCTCATGTCTCCTTTCCCCTTTGTCTGTTTGCATTCTGTTCTCCTGTATTATACGGCCCCAGTTTGTGTTGCATTTTGGTTCTGCTTTTTCCCCCTCTCTGTGTGTTTTTGCGTAAACATTTTTGGGAAACGGGAGTTGCAGTTGTTTGACTGCGGGTAGTGATGAGAGCGTAGTACCTAATCTTTTTTTATTTTTCCCAAGTTGAAATTGTGTTCTGGCCTACAATTACAAAGAGCTTCAGCTCAAATATTATAAGAGTTATCCAATGTGTTGGATAAGTAAACTTTTATTTTTGCCCTCACTTTGATGGAGTAGTAGTGTGTCTCAGCTGGACCCTGAGGGAGGCTGAGGGAGTGCGCTCTGGGCAGACTGATTGGCTAGGCCTAGCTCGGAGCCGCCACCCCAAATCCCTATTGTAGCTGAGCGCACACATTTGGCTGGACTCATTTCATGGCCAGATAGCGTTTCAAGTTCATTTATGGAATAAGAGTTTATATGCAGTTTCACGCCCGGTTTGAGGTGGGGATGTCTGCTTTACCTTTTTTAATTTTCTATTTTTTTTCTTGCTGTAGTTTATTTTTTGGCTGCTGGCTTGGAACAAACCGTGGTGTGCACCTGCAGTCTGTGGCCAGGGGAGGGCCCCACTCTATGCTCTCCTGGCCCAATCGTTCATGTGCTGGTTTCTAAGATCTGCAATAATTTACTGCATCAGGTTCATGTTTTTACCTGAACATAAAATAAAGTAACTGGTTGACTCATCTGTGTTCTCTTTATTTAATCCATCATCCTGTTCTTTGTTTCACCCTCCATTCTGTGGATCTGACTGACTGGGATCATCTTAGAGGTGATCAATTGGAGTAGGACTTGCTTGATTAAAAACATACCTGATTATATATTTATATGAACAGCTGACTACCACAAACCCTACCAATTTAATGTCATGGTTTATTAGGAGTAATACTTGAAGGAATGTTTCAGTGAGTGGTGGACAAAGGCCGTATGTATCAGCTGAGTATGTATTAAGTCAACACTGCAAAATGTTTGTTTTGAAAGGACATATTCATTATAAATAACTAATCACTCTTTTGAACCATTGTTAATGTTCTGAGAGGGATATGGAATTTGACACAACAGATATACACTATAATTTGGTGGTGCTTATTTGTCCTATTTTACACAAGTGTGTATTAAGACACGTGTGAATTGGAAATGTGTTTTTTTGCATATCCCAACTCTCCCTGAGACACCCTCAGTGAGTATGGTCACGGCCAGGGAGATGCTAGGGGACAAGCGGAGAGAAAGTGTCTTGAATGTCACCTCTGGAGGAATTTGTTTTCCTTTCCTACCCCAGCAGGGTGTTTAACATCTTCCCTTATAAAAAAAGATTGCAGTCAGTGCAGTACTGCAATTACTGCATCCAAAATAAATAAATTAATGCAGTAATTTGCAGTTACAGTGCAGTATAACAGAAGTTATTCTGCAATTACTGCGTCCAAAATACCATAGTTGACTGCAGTTACAAAACAAATATTTTTTGGTTGGGGAAATGGGTAGTGAGGCTTTGGAGATACCGCAGAGAAGGGTTCGCTGCTGTTTGCCCCCAGTTTCACCTGCAGCCCTGTAGCGCACAACAAATTCTAACTCAACTCTGCCTTAAATTCTGCGTAATTTGTTATGTGAAGGAAATGATGTAGAAGAAACGTCTTTGCCAAATGTCACTGAATAGCTAAAGCATACTTAAAAAAAGAAGCAAACTTTTTCAGATGTTGCAAATGTGTATCCCTTTAACTCCTGCCTGTAATTTCACTGTTTTCATGCACATGCATATTGCACACCCCATCTACATCCTACTTAGGCCCAGTGAATATGTATGGTGTTTGAGGGTCCGGGTCCAGTCAGCTAGTAGATAAGTTGGCTACAGTACAGTACCTGGCTCTCTCTGTGAGATGAGTAAAGTGGTTGAGCTGACAGATTTACTAGCCTGTGTGAAGACTTATTATGGAAATGGGAGAGTTGGGACTCGGGTGGGCTGACGTGCTATTAACGGCCACGTGCTTTATGTCGACCACACCGCATGGTCACATGACATGGCGACGGAGTCACTTCCTGAGGTAGCTGCCTACGAAGACGTTTTACTTACTGAAATGGTCATGAATCATACCAACCTTATGAGATTCATTTCAGGTAGTGATATAGAGGGAATATTTATTGTACTTCATAAATGGCATCCTATTCCCTACATAGTGCACAACTATTGACCAGAGCCCATAGGCCACTATATAAGTAGTAGTAGGGTGCCATTTGGGACATAGCCTTAATCTTTGGGGAACGGTTTGGTTAGACTTTGAAAACTCCTGATTGAGAGAATGGTATTTCAGCAAGGTCTTTGAAGATCATTGAGAGACTCATAATCTGTCTGTTATATTTATTATGCAAACGTCTTTAATTAGATTCTTGCAACTTGCTAAGGTTTTATTTCTCCTTGAAGGTGTTTAGAACCATTCATAGGCAGAGTTTGGTGGAAGAGCAGGGTGAGAGGTAGTTCACGTCAGAGGCAGTTCAGGGTTGGGTGGAGAATGAACTGACCTCTGGGCTTACCTCTGAAGGTGATGGAGAGAAAATAAGAGTCGACGACATTACAGCTATAATGACTGTCAAGTGTACAGGTACCTAGGGATCGCCATGGAAACTGGTTTCTGAGTATTTGAAGAGGGGGTGTAGTTTGGATTATTGATCTGATTCCTTTTTTTGTTCATTTTTCAAACAATACAAAACATACACATACAAAAGACAACATACAGAAGAACACAAACATCAAAGACATCACACCTGCCCAGACCCACCTGTTCTCACCCCTATCTCCAGTGCCTGCACTACTCTCCGCCGCGTCCTCAAATTGCGTTCCTTTCCATCGCCCATGCTCTTTCAATATTTAGATAATGAAGCATATGATTTTTCCATTGTCTTAACGATGGAGGATTGGTTGATTTCCAGTTTTTAAGTCTACGTTTTTTCAAGATAATTGACAAGAAGAGTATCGTCCAATCCATCGGTTATCTCACTGCACCCTCATATGATGTCTTGAAATATGCAGACAGACGGATTAAAAGTACATTTACACTGTAAAACTTTTGACAGCGAACTTTCTAACTCCACCCATAACTTTTGGACTTTATAGCATTCCCGGAATGCATGGATTATTGAGTCATTGTTAGTTATACACATAAGACATGACTGTCGTTGTGCTGTAGAGTTTGTGAATTGTCTCTTGTATAATACTGGATTAAGGGAACATTTTCATTAACTGTCATTTTGTTAGTTATGTTCCAACATTCCCTCCATCTTGTGCCAATATTTGTTATTTTTAAGTCTTGGTTCCAATAGTTTATATTTTTTTCTAAGAGCTTGTCAGTTGGATTATTGCTCTGATTCCAATGTAGCAGATGGGGATCTGTCCCCACTTGCACTGCGGAATCTCTCATGTGGTGCAGTTTTAGTGCTTTGAAAAGCACATACTTTACATCATTCCAAATGTGAATTGTGACCAGATTTATTTAGCTGAAACTTTGTGGTAAACTAGTAGAAATGGGCATGCAAGCTCCAAGGAGAGGTTATGAATGATGAGATTCCAAATGAGGCCCGCGCCAGGCTCTGTCACTGTGTGTGTGCGTACGTGCGTCCATGTGCGTGTGCATGTGTGCTCGCAGCTGTGTGTGTGTGTGCGGCTATGTGTGCTTGCGTGAGATAGGGCGAGAGAGAGAGTGTTGTCGTCACAATGAATCAGAGCGGGGGCGGGAGCTAGCCCCCTCCTCAGTCTCCTCGTCAGCCAGTAGACTCGCTTGCTCAGTCGCAGTGCACACAGCCAGTCTACAGCATCCCTACCAGGCTGCCACTCACACTCTCTCCATTCAGCTCCCTCATCCACACACCCAGAAAGCAGAGAGACCAGCCACTTACTCACTGAGCCAGAGTTAAGAGGAAAAGAGAACGCAGAGAGGAAGAGACAGTTAAGTGATATACGTACATAAGAGAAGATGAGGATGCCTGTGACCCAGCAGCGCCCCCTGTACCTCCTCCTGCTTCTGCTGAGTGCCGGGGGTGGGGGTCTCTCCTCCCCCCTTGATCTGGAGCCCCCTGCTCCGGAGGCGGCTGCCCCGGCTGAGGCTGACCCCACCCAGGCCACTCCCCTGCCTGACCCCTGCGAGGGACGGCCCTGTCTCAACGGAGGCGCCTGCGAGGCCCAGCCCTCTGACCTGGAGACAGAGGACACTCTGCCCAACACCTGGGCTTACAGCTGCACCTGCACCTCCGGCTTCACCGGACGCAACTGTGAGGTAAGTCCGAACCACCTGCCTGTACCCGTCTGTCTGTCTGATATTAACCTGCTTGGTTCTATTATATTTGGACTGTTGATATCAATACAACATAATGTGCACCTCTCTTTCTCTCTTCTCCCTTGGAGATGTTTTTTAATGGGAGCATGTGCTGTGAGCGAGACGTGAAGAGGAGTGCTGCGTTG